GTTCCAGGGTTGGATAAGTCACTTAGTAAATCTGAGTCACCTAATTGCCCCTCTTCCCCCAACTCCCTTGATCTCCCCATTTCGTAGGGCCTTGGACCTTAGAAGAGGAAAAGGCGAAATTGTGCAGTCTGGTTGGGATGAGTAGTGTCTATTTCCTGCTATGTGCCCGGGGTGCCCTCTGGTGGCAGTCTCCAACAGTGCCGATTTCCTCAGGCTTGGTCCCTCCATCTGGCCATCTCCTACTTTGGGGAGCCTGGCCCTCAGGCTGGTCCTTCGATGCTGATCTAGTCAACCCTTCCTTCCTGTGCCACCCCACCTCCCCACAGAGAAATAGAAAACTGTGCAGTTGGTTGGGGGAACTCCCATAAATATGAGATCTTCTCCCTTCCTGCCCAGAGTTAGGCATCTTGACAAAACCATATTACTGGGGGCCTGGAATCTCAACTGTGCGATGAGATCCACACCTTTTCCTTCTTTCTTCAGTCCACAGGTGCTTAGTGAGCACCTACCTTGTGCTAGGTGGGCACCGAGGGTGCAGCAGTGAACAAAGCAGACGTTCTGGCCTCTTGGTGCTCACATTCCACTTCTCCCTAATCCCTCACTCCTAGTCCACAGCTCTCATCAGGAAGTCTCCTGGCGTCACAGAAGGCCGAGTGGGATTCAGAAGTCAGCAACGCGGGCTCCTTGCACCCCGTGGAGTCTGTGGTTAGACTATTCTAGCTTCTGGGTTCTCTGTCTTCCTCTCTCCTCGGAGTTTCACCACCACCCACATGCCGACAGCTTCTACGTGTCCATCCTAGCGCCTCCTCTTCCAGAACTCAGGGCTGTGGCTCCGGCTTCTGTGGGACAGTCCCTCTGGGCTAACAGGTCTTTTGCCTTACCAGGATGTCCCTTTTTTTCCCAAAACCAGATCCTCCACCATACACCGTGGTGCTCAAACCAAAATTTTAGAACTTCCTCAGGATTATTCTCTTTCATGCCCCCAAAACTCCCCCAACAGATGCAGGTGCAGAATCTGTCCACTCCGAGCAACCACCCTGGTCCCAGCGCCCGTATGTCTCACTGCTGTGACCTCCTAGCTTGCCCCTCCTAGCTTTGCTTTCTCTCTTGCCCTGTGCCGCTCTGTTACTTCCACATAGCAGGTGGAGCAGTCTTTACCACCATCAATCAGATCATGTCACTTCCCTGCTTAAAACCCTCCAGTGGCTTCCATCTCACCAAGAATCAAATCCTAACTCCTCACCCGGGCTTACTAAGCCCTCCATGAGCTGAGCATTACCCCCTCCCCACCTCTCCAGCTTCATCTTCCACCTCTGTCTCAACAGCCCTTCTTTCTTGTTCTGACACACACAGGCCAGTTCATTCTCACCTTAGGGCTTTGCACTGGCTGTTTCCTGAGCTTGAAATGTTCCTGCTCTAGACCTTTGTATAGCTGACTCACCATTCAGAGCTCAGCTTAAATGCCACCTCTCAGAGAAGATCCCCCAACCATCTGACAAGTCCCTCTATCTATCACAACATCCTATGTAATTTTCTGTGTAGTGCTGTTCACTAGCTAAGCTGTTTTGGTCTCACTTGCTCACTTATTTAATTCTTTATTGTCTGTCTCCTCCAAATAAAATGTGAGCTCCCTGAGAGTTTGTTCATCATTATATTCCCACATAGCAGGGAACACAGCAGGGCTCAGGAATTCTTAATTAGTGAAAAAACTATTCTAAGGCCAGGCACAGTGGCTCACACTTATCATCACAGCACGTTGGGAGGCCCAGGTGAGAGGACTGCTTGAGCCCGGGGGTTGATGATTACCCTGGGCAACATAGTGAGACCCTGTCTCTACAAAAAATTAGCCAGGCATGGTGGGGTGTGCCGGTAGTCTCAGCTACTTGGGAGGCTGAGATGGGAAGATCACTGAACCTGGGAGATTGAGGCTTCAGTGAGCTGTGACTGTGCCACTGCACACCAGCCTCAGCAACACAGAGAGATCCTATCTCAAGATAATAATAAAAAAAGGTTCTTAGTGGCTGCCCTCATTTCTCCTAGAGGGAGAAGAGTGGGGGAAACCTCATTTCCTGGCCCCTTAATGAGCTCCCTTGTCCGGGCCAGCAGTACTTTCCTTGGGGAGGCAGGGGCCACTCACCACCTGTAGCACCCTAGAGCCCCCCAGGCCCTGGGGAGTACCCCTCCTTTAGAAGGACCAGTCCTGTGTTCCCTACCACAGTCCCTGTGCCTCCAAGGATAGGCCCTGGTGCCTCAATTCTTAGAATTCAGGTGCTAGGGTGGGAGTGGGAGGTTTTACCTTCATTCCAGGGCCGGTCTGCAGCATCCCTGCAGGAACTCAGTAGTTCCTGAGTAGTTCCCTGCTCAAATTCCCCAAGGTCAGGGAGCTTGATGCTTCTGCGCTGTCAGAATCATGTCCTCTCCTCAACAGAAACCTGCCGCCCAGAGGCCCTTTCAGGGCCTGGAGCCTGCCTGGGAGCGGCTTGCAGAGGTGTGAGACAGAGCACGCCCTCCAGCCTCACCCTGTGTAGGAGAGTGGGGCTTCCCTAGGGCCTCACTGGCCATATTGCCTTAGAGGGGCCCATCCCCAGGTGTCACCCAGGGAAGGGGTGTGAAGTGAGGAGTCCCCACTGTGGCAGACTGGAGCTGATGGGAAAGTGAGCCCTGGGCACTGGGTGTGGAAAATCTCTTCTGGTGTGCCTGTGGAGGAAGCGGGGCACAGAAAAGACAGATGATGACCTTCAGCTGGGGGTGTCAGTGGAAGGGACTCCAGGGAGCCAATGTCCCACCTTCCCTTCCCTGACCCATTCTACCCACACCATTGATCCATGTCCCACTGCCCTGAGTCCTTATGGTAGGCTCACTCTTCCTCTGCAGCAGCCAGGCTTGCAGAACAGGAAGTCTTGTTGGGGAAGAGGAGAGAGAATGTAATTCCAGGCATCTAACAGCAGGTGGGAGAGGGGTTGGGCTGAGCCTAGCATTGCAGGGCTAGAATCCTAAGGTGGTAGGAGAAGGGTGGCTCCGACTGCACCCCAAGGCTGCACCAGCGGTGGCCCCCTCTCACCTACTGCTCTACCATAGCAGCAGGTGGCATCTGAAGCTGCAGACCAATGCACCAGAAGAGACAGGACTGGAGCATGGAGAAGTGGTCTTCCTACACACATACAGGGTGGGTTGGGGAGCTCAGAGAAGAGGTCATCAGCTGTAGGTACTGGGAACTTCAAAGGTTAAGGCCCATCGACACGTGCAAATTAATAGAGATGGCCTGCTTGGCACCTGCTCAGGCAGATTTGCTCTTCTCTAGGTCAGTGGGAGAGGGGGAGACAGCAGGAGAGGCAGAGGTGGAGATGGCGCCAGAGGAGGGAAGAGCCCAGGGCTGGTGGGAAGTGTCTGGGTCATGGCAGAGTAGTAGCAAAGCCTGTCTTGTAAAGAGAAAGGGAGGCTGGTGATGAAGCCAGGAGTGGATGGGCAGGGAGTCATAGCCAGCTGGGGGTGGTGGGCCAGCATGTGCCCCAGTCACTGCTTGCCTAGGTACATGCATGGAGAGGAAAGGCTGGCCCAGAGTTGCAGTGTCTTCTCCTCAGTCCCCTGACCCCTCTTCTTTTTTGCAAGGCAGCCCCTATTCCTCTACCTGGCCCCCTCACCTGCCCCCTCACCTGGACAAACCACAGACTGGGCCCAAACTCAGCAAGTCCAGCAAGACTGGGCAAAGTGTCTGGGCTGTGCACGGCCCCGCGGAGCACTTCTCCCCTCACCATCCCTGCTCAGTGACCATGCCCTCAACCACTACTGCTGCCCTCACATCTCCACATGCATGTGTGATGTCAGACTGTTACCCAAACGCTGCCACTCCCCACCTCTTACAGGAGCCAGGCAATCACACCCACAGTCACACTCCTATGTTCATCCAGTCCCCCAATTTGACACACCTGTTCCCACATTCGCAGGCACACAGTCTTAGATACAGTCTTTTGCTCACAGTCACACACTCCTCTCTCCTGAAGCCCTCTTCTAGGTCTCCAAGAGGGGCTGGTACCAGGATGCTTGGGCACTCAGCCACAGGCTGGGAGGGCCCCAGAACCCAAGGTGCTCAGCCAGAGGCCCCACAGCCAACCCTCCCTCCCGGCCTGCACTGTCACAGAGGACTGACTCCAAAGGCGCTTTATTGAGGAGTGAGGCACCGCAGGAATGCATGGTGTGGCACAGTCATGGTGGGTGGGGGCCAGCATTGTTGGCAGTGAAGGTCACACTAGGACTTTCAGGACTGCAGAGGCCCCCTCACCACTCACCTCTGTCAGGTGTCTCAGCTACCCCTGCTCGTAGTCAGACAGCAAGGGTGAGGAGTGCTCACCCCAGCCCTGCTTCTAGGGACCATCCTGGCTCAAGTCAGAGCCACAGTTTCTTGGCCAAATGAATCCCAAAGGTCATGTTGGGGTAGAAACAAGGAGGGTAGGGAGGGGCAGGAGAGGGGGCTAGAAGCCCTTCACTGTGTGTGCAATGACAGAGACAGCCCAGGCTGACATTTGTCCCTTCTTCCTCTCTTCCTCCCACCCCCAGGGGGGCCTGACACTGCTGGTGGTTACCCCTTCAGGGTGGGTGCTCCTTGGTTCACAGTGCCCAAATGCCAGGGGGAGGTTGCAGTGTCAGGGTTCGAGGGTCCAGGGGCCTACTTTCATGAAGCTGGATGGGTGAGGTTTAGTAGGGACCAGAGACCCCACCTAAGGGGCCAAGGGTCTGCTGCTCCCTTCTTCGGGGTGTGACCCCTGACACCATCACACTTTCTACCCAGGAGTTTGGGAGATGGAAAAGATGAGGCCCCCTGCGCCCAGAACCAGACCCTTGGAAGAAAGGAAAAGAAAGAAAGAAAAAGAGAGAGAGAGAGAGAGAGAGAGAGAGAGAGAAAATAAAAACTTTTCTTTTCTCTTTTTCTTTTGCCCCCTTAAATGGCACGGAAGGAAGGGGAGTGAACCCGGAGAGCGGAGTCACGGCGGGGCCCTGGTCCGCTAGGGGGCGGCCCGCTCCCGGGGCGGGTTGAGCTGGACCCCTTCCGAGCACAGCGCGCAGACGGCCGCGGGCGCTGGGGCCTCCAAGGCGAGGGTGCTGGGGCCGGGGCTGGAGCGGCCGGAGGACGCGGCTGAGACTGCAGGGCTGAGCTGCACTGCTGTGGTGTCCTGTGCCGTGCGCTCGCTGCTCTCCATCTCCAGCGCCACGGGTCCGGCGCGGCCGCCACCCTGACCAGGGCCCACCGCGGCCGCCGAGCGCGCGCCGGGCGCGGGGCCCCGGCGGCTACACACGCAGCAGGCCGCGAAGAAGCCGAGCGCCAGCATCAGCAGCCCCGGTCCCACAACGAGCAGCGGGTTGTGCCTGGGCAGGAAGGAGGCGAAGGCGCCCGCCAGCGTCACGTTCACGCCAGCCAGCAGCGCGCACAGACCGCAGGCGCAGCACAGCGCAGGCGACTGCAGGCCCGACACCCGGCCCCGGGCGCGTTCCGCGGGCGCCAGGACCGGTGGTCCCTTGCTCTTTTCTGCCGGCGGCATCGGCCTGCGCACGCCGGGCACGCATCAAGCTCCCTCTTGCCGCCGGCCGGGAACAGCCCAAATGCCAGGAGCCGCCTCGCGCTAGTCCTGTGGGCACACAGCAAGAGGGCGGGGTCAAGCAGTGTATCTCGACCTCTAATCTTAGGCTCCGTCTGTAGCTACACTCAGTGCCTGGGTGGGCAGAGGTCATCTTGGTCAGCACCCCGCCTCTGTCTCTGGAAAGCAACAACCCATCCCATATGTGAAGAGTCCGCTTGTTGTATCCCCACCTAGTTCCGGGGGTCCCTCGTGGCCAATCTTGCCATCCTCCCTCTCTCCTCACTTTTTTGTTCTCCAAACAGACACCACCCCTCCAACCCCTCTCCTCCAGGAAGCCTACCTGGACTCATTGAGTGAGAGAATGGCTGGAAGGTGCTCAGCACAGTGTCCAGTTCAGCTTAGGTGCTCATCACATGATAATCATCGTCTTCAGTAACCCTAACTAGAAGGCAAATGGCAGCTCTTGGGATTTAGACAACTCACTCCCTCAAGTGGAAGAGGCCTTGGAAATCATCTGACCTTGCCCCCCACCCCCACCCCACCCCCTTATTCAGATGAAGAAACTGAGGCTCCCAGAGGTCTAGCAGTTTATCCAAGATGCAGAACCAGGACCTGAATGACCATGCGACTTGGCCTCAGCATCCCCACCCTAGGCTTCGGTAGGTGTAGCAATGACACTGACTCTTCTGAATATCAGATGAGGCCCTGGAGTGAGTGGCCACGTGAGAATGAGGAGCTCCTGATGGTTCAGACGTTCAGTGAGAGGGCACAGTCCCCACATGGGATGGGTTGGGCTGGAGCAGATCTAAGGCACCAGGACCCTTTCTAGACCCGGCATTCTATTAAATTCCAATCCTACCTCCACTCCACTCCCCATTGTTCTACTGCTGAACCTGGATTCAAAAGTCTAATTGCTGGATGCTAGAATTCCTTTCTAGGATTCTCTAGATGTCTCTGGTTCTAGGATCTATTGCTGGATTCTAGAATTCTGGAAATAAATGCAGAAACAAGAGTAATAAAATTAGAGTCTAGGGATTTATGACTTCTATTTGAGAATTCTGTTCTATAATGCATAAGATCCTAGTTGGTACAAAGGCCCTCAAAGGATGAAATCTTAGCTAGTGTTAGAATTGTGGGGAAAAATGCCAGAAAAGGGTCCTGGATGGGGATGAAAGGGAAGTAATCAGATGGTACTGCGGGTCTAAGGGGAGCATGCAGGGTGAGGAGCAGGGAGTGAGTGCCACCTTCACAGGAGGCCTGACTCTCCTGCTTCCATCTTATCTCCTGTAACGTGGGGCTAATCATAGAACCCACCTCATAGGGTATAGTGATAATTAAATACTTTAAGCTAAATAAAGTGTTTAGAACAGTGAGAATTTAATAAATGTTAACCATGCCCTTCTGGTGGTGGTTGACAGAGAAGGGAGCCATGAAGTCTCAAATCTGGGAGGCTGGTCATGTTGGGTTTGGAAACAGAAAAGTTGGGCTGTCTCCCAGGTGGAGGTACCTTTCTGCGTGTCCAAACCCTATACCCAGTGGGGCTGGAGAAAGCTTGATGACTGACTGAAAATGAGGGCTAGTGTCAGCTCCCTCACTCTCCACACACAGGATGCAGGTCAGAGGGCTTGAAAGGCCACCTCCAGGCCTGTCCAGAGCTGATGACTCCAGGCTTCCCTCTCCTGGCACCCTGCTGAGAGGGGTAGCCCTACTGAGATTCCAGCCAGAATCACCTTGTTGCCGTACCAAGCTGGCAGGAAGTCAGAAATCCCCAAATCGTAGCAAAGAAAGCACATGTTGACTCTTGAGGGCATCTACAGACCCGTTTCCTCAGGGAGCTCCTCATCTGCATGAACATCTGCTCTCTAACCTGCTGTTGATGGTTCTGCCAGCCAGGGATAGCAACCTCTGAAAGGGTACAGCAATTTATAGTGTGCAAAGCACTTTTACATCCATGATATCACAATCTCTACTACTGCTTGATGCCTATTGATAGTCACATTTTGGCCAGGTGTGGTGACTCGCACCTGTAATCCCAGCACTTTGGGAGGCTGAGGCAGGCAGATTGCTTGAGCTTGGGAGTTTGTGACCAGCCTGGGCAACATGGTGAAACCCTGCATCTGTTTTATTTTGTTGTTGTTGTTAACAAAAATAATTTAAAAAAAAATTTTTTTTAATAGCCACATTTTACAACTGAGGAGACTGAGGCTCAGAGAGGGAAGTGGATTGGGGCTCCGGTGGCTGGACTGAAAGGAAGAATAGACATTCTGAGACCAGAGTCAGAAAACAGATAAGCTGGCTCACACCCTACACAATCTTGCTTAATTTTATAGAGAAGGATTTGATCCTCAGGAGGGTCTGTGAGATTCCCACATCTTCCCCTTTTAAACCTCTCCCTAACCTCATTCATCAACATCTGACATTATCTGACAAAGGCAGGAGTTCCCTTCTGTGGGGAGGGCTCAGTATGAGGGTGCCCCAATGGAAAGGAGGGAGTCTGGCTCACCTCACTTCACATCAGTCTCCTGGAAGCTGATATTGGATAAGGGTCAGGGAGGCCCTGGCCGCTGGAGAGTCCAGGGATCTTGCTTCTCTCTCTCTCTCTCTTTTTTTTTTTTTTTTTTTTTTTTTGAGATAGAGTCTTGCACTATTGCTTGGGCTTTAGTGCAGTGATGCAATCACAGCTCACTGTAACCTCCGACTCCTGGGTTCAAGTGATTCTCTTGCCTCAGCCTATTGAGTAGCTGGGATTACAGGCACCTAACACCATGTCCAGCTAATTTTTTTTTTTTTTTTTTTTTTTTTTTAGTAGAGATGGGGTTTCACCATGTTGGCCAGGCTGGTCTCGAGCTCCTGACCTCGTGATCCACCTGCCTCAGCCTCCCAAAAGGCTGGGATTACAGGCGTGAGCCACCGCGCCCAACCAGGATCTTGCTTCTTTTCCCATATGGGGAAGACTCTCCTTTGCCTTAGGGTTTTAGCAGTTTTACTGTGATGTGCCTAAGTGAGTTTTTCTTTGTATTTATCCTACTCCGTAGATATTTGCTTTATATGTATCCTTCCTCATGCTTCTACAATCTGTGGCTGCATCATATCGCCCCCTAGTTCAGGAAACATTTCAGCTCTTATCTTTTCTCCGTTCGCTTTCTCCTCTCCTTCTGGGATCTTCAATGCATGTATGTTCAGCCATTTGCTATTGTCCCATATGTCTCTTTTACACTTTATTCTGTATTTTCTAGCCCTTTCCTTCCTTCCTTCTCTTTATCTCAGTCTGGATATTTTTCTACTGAAATATTTTTCTACTATCTAGTTTACTAATCCTATTTTCACATATGTCTTCTCTGCTGCTAAATCCATCAATGGATTTCATTTGTTATAACTTTTCAGTTCTGGAATTTCCACTAGATCCTTTTTCATAGATTCCAGTTTCCTGTTTAAAGATTCCCTCTTGTTATTAATTTTCTTGAACATATTAAACCTTCTAGAGTCCATGTCTGAAAACTCCAACATCTGGATCTCCAGTGGATTTGTTTCTATTGTCTGTTTTATTGCTTTTGTTCATTTGGTGTTATCTCCTGATATGCCAGATAATTTTTTATTGAATGTCCAACATTGTGTATAAAAAATTATAGAGCTAGCATGAGGCTTTGAATGATATTATCTTTCTCCAGAGGGGATTTGCTTTTGCTTCTGACAGGCTCCTAAAGAACCACAGGCCACTTTAACCCAATTGAGGATTATACTGATTGGAAACTTTGTTTCAGTCTTTCTGAGTCTAGTCTATATCTGGTCAGCCATTAGTCCTAGAGTGCTGCTTTGGTCTTCCCAATAAAAACTGTAGGTGTTTAACAGTACCCTTTCCCTTTTTAGGCCCTGAATTCCAATTTGACTCCCCAGTCTCATGACCTCCTACAAACTGGAAAATGCCTTTAGGGAAAAATCAAAATCTAGTATTACTTCTCTCCACAATCTTGCCCCCCTCAAGTCCTCACTGCCTCGGTAGCTCTCCCATGCCTTTAAACAGATTTCTTAAATGCTTAATCCAGCTTTTAAAGTTTTATCCTCAGCAGGTAAATTGGTCTGATAGAAGTTAGTCTACTTTAGCCAGAAACAGAAGTCTAGATGATAATCTGAAATTAGCACTTATAGATCTATAACTAAGTTATGCTATGCTAAGCACTTATAATAATATCTAATTTAATTTTTACAACATAAGTGTAAGTATTACTATTATACCTCCATTTTACAGATGAGGAAATTGAGACACAGAAAGATTAAGTAAACTCACCCCAAACCACTCAGCTGCAGTGGTGGTGCCAGGATTTGAAATCTGGTGTACTGATCCAAAGCCTGAGCTCTCAACCTAGCACAGTGCTAGATTTGCTAAATGTTTGTTGAATGACTGAAGCACAGGGTACAGGCTTTTCTGAGGCCCTGTAGATAAGCTCCTGTAATTAGAACTTACACTGCTCAAATGTCAACCACAGAGGAAGACAGGTTTTCTCTGGTTCAAGGAAGGTAAAATTCACTTTGCTTCTTCCTTGGTTTAGCAAACTAGGTTCAACAGAAACTAATTCCAGCCCAGGGGCTGAGCTTCTAAGTGCTAATTGCTAATGAATGACTGATTCTTATCTACTCCTGGGAGGCACAGTGACTATAAGACAAAAGGGTCTCTGCCCTAGGCACACAAAGGACTAAGAACATGTGGGTGTTGGGCTTATTCCTGAGGTTGCCTCCACCCTGGTTAATTGGGATCTAGGAGTGTGCAGGGATGAGGTGTTGAGGCTGCTCAGCTGTTGTAATTCCATTTGCACCACTATTTCATCTGGTGAACTGTGGGCTCCAGCTGCTGCTGTTGCAGTGTTGGTTCTGTTTTGTTGTGGGTGTTCTGGCTAGCTCTGTTGTGGGGTGTCCTTGGCACTGTTCAATAAATCTTTCTGGTTTTCCACTCTACTGAGCACATGTTAAGATTGCACTTTCTGGCTGATTTGTGATTAGGTGGCACTGTGTGACGTTCTGGCCAGGGAATTGTGACATGTGCCACTTCCAGGCTGGCCTATTGGATTATGGAAGCAGGACTCTGAGTTGATGCTATTGCTCTCCCTAGTCCTCTAAGCCCCTTCTATTTCATTCCAAGCCCAGCCTTCAATCCTAGTGCCTGAGCAGGAGGGAAGGGCATTGCTCTGACTCTTGAGTCGCGAGGACTGGAAGACCTTCACTTTAGTGAGTACTCCGAGTTGCTGAGCCCCTAAATCTTCAGAAGCGGGAAACTGAGGCTTGGAGTAGAGGAGGTCTGTGGCCAAGCCAGACCAGATCCAAGCCCTTTCCCACCCAGTGAGGGCTCTGAACACTGCCATTCAGCTGCCCACGACCCTGGCCAAGCAATTCACCCTCCCTGCTGCCCTGCCTCTCCACAAGCAGTTTGGGGGAGGAGCAGACACTGGTTGGGCAGCCTGGGAGAGCTGGTGTCCCTCTCTGGGCCTTAGTTTTCTGGATGTGAAGGGAGGAGTATAATGAGGTTATTGTCCTCAAACTGAGGTCCCTCGTCAATCAATCTGCTGCCCCACCCTCAACCACTTGAGGTTTGTAAAGGTGGAAATGAGGACCTGTTTAGAAGTTACTGTCGGTGTATCAAAAGGTCTCATAAAATCAACATTTATGTATACGTATACATATAAATGTATATGGCTGTACCTGCTCATTGTACCAGATTATTTGCTTTAGGCTGGGATTCCGTTGTTTCCCTGGGAAGTCAGCTGCCACACAGGGGTTCTGGTTGAGAGGGAGGGACACTCATGTTGAGCAGCAACTCTGTGCTAAGCACTTTCCCTACATTAGCACATTTAACCTTCACTACAACCCTGTGAGCTGTTGCAGTCCTGCTCCTAGTTCACAGTGAGGACACTGAGGCTCAAAGAGGTGAAGGGACTTACTTTGGTTTATTCAGCTGCAATAGGGAAAGCTGGGATTCAAACCCAGTTTTGTCAGATTGAAAAGCTCATGTTTTTGGCTCATTAGAATTGCTGTTTACTGAAAGGTATAGAGATGTTTGCTTATTAAAAAAATTTGGGCTCAAGGGGGTGGTCCTCAGTTGGTGAAGGCAAGAGCTCCTGGAGGGGGAGTCTCTGTCCGAAGTCCCTTCAGGTCAGCAGGTGAGCCTGCGCGTCCCCTGTGCCCCCAACCCATGGTTCTGGGATGTTTGTGTTGCATAAGAGCAGTTACTTGACTAGAGGTAGCTGCCAGGCCTCCTGGCTCCAGATTCCTGGTCCAAAGGCTCAAGAGCCTCTGGGCGTAGGGGCTTCAGTCCAAACTTCAGCCACTGGCCCCAGCCCCCTATCCTCCAGGGGAGGCTGAGCCCCTCACTTGCTCAGTCTGAACTCTTTACTGCTCACTATGAACTCCTCTGTTCCTTTTAGTCTTAGCCCTTCTGTTCCCTCTCAGTCCCTGGAAATCTGGGCCAGCCCTCTTCCCAGCACCTACATCCTCAGGAACCTCCCACATCACTCTTACTCATTGCCGGCTGGGGCTTATTCACTACCTTGGGAACTCTCAGCTTCTGCCAACTGAATTCTGCAAACCCAGAGCCCAAAGAGCTACCATCACCCTCACCCTAGCCAATCCATGGACCTGTCCTCACCATAGACACATGCATATACATGCATACTCACATGTGTGCACGTGCGTGTGTACACACATGCACACACACACACACAGAGTCTTCAAGCTGGAAATAAGGTTTGAGGGTGAAGCCTGAAGGTGTGGCTTTCTAGCTCCTGTGTCTGATTCCTGGGATCTATCATCTTCCTCCCTGAGCCCATGTGCATGCACGAACACACACACACACACATATACACTACAGACACACACGCAGTGACTGGACATATCCAGAAATACAAACACAGATGCATAGATGCATTACACACACAGAGTTGCAGACACAGGCCAACATATGACACACTGTCAGTTGCCTGCCTATCTGATGGAGATGAGCTGCTGTCCTGGAGACTTCTCCTTGCCTGGAAGTGTGAGGATGGAGGGAAGGTGGTTGAGAGCAGGAGTCCCCCGGGAGAGGTGATGGGTGGATAGGAGTTCCATTCTGGCTGCTCTGATGGTGCCTACCCATTCACAATGGGTCTCCATGCTGGCAAAAGGCAAGCACTCACCATTCCCCTCACTGGGGCTCAGCTTTGCCATTGGTGAAGTGCGAGATTGATCTAGATGATCTAGATGGTCTAGCTGGCTTCCAGCACAGCTGAGAGGCCCCAGTGGCACAAGACTCCAAAAGCTTCTTTGAGCAATCACAGGTTTGTGTTGGTTAGACCGAGTCTTTGTAACAATCCAGGCAAAGATGCCCCTTCCAGTCCTTCCTGGTGCTCTTGTACTTCCCCAACAGAATCCTCAGGCCACAGTCCCCAGCAGGGGTTATATAGGTGGCCAGACTGGGATCTCTAACCTCAACCTGGGCCTCTGCCTTTACCCTAAGCAACTCAGCTGCCTGGAGCCAGCTGGAGGGGTGGAGAGAGAGGACTTCAGACTGGCAGGAGTGGAACTGCCCTTCCTATCTGTCTCCTTCCCTCTAAGGCTCTGGAACTAGCTCCACTTTCCTTCCCAGCCTGAGGAATTTCAGCATCTTTTGCCCAACCACCCAGCCCCTCTGCCCTCTTAGTTTCCTGACTTCTCATCTCCAATGCTCAATTCCTTCATTCCACCTCAGCTACACTTCTTCATACCTCATCACCTTCAGGACTTTATCACCCTTCTCATCACCCTGAACCATTCCACATCTGAGAAACCCTGACACCCTACTCTCGACTGTAACTCCACTGCTACCTCCATACAGACACGGCTATAGCACAAACACTGTTCTAAGCCGTGTGTGTGTGTGTGTGTGTGTATATATATATATATAATTATTATTATTATTTTTTTTGAGATGGAGTCTTGCTCTGTTGCCCAAGCTGGAGCGCAGTGGTGCAATCTTGGTTCACTGCAACCTCCGCCTCCCAGGTTCAAGCGATTCTCCAACCTCAGCCTCATCAGTACCTGGGACTACAGGTGCGCACCACCACACCTGGCTAATTTTTGTATTTTTAATAGAGACGGGGTTTCACCATGTTGGCCAGGATGGTCTCAATCTCCTGACCTCATGATCTGCTGGCCTCAGCCTCCCAAAGTGCTGGGATTACAAGCATGAGCCACCACGCCTGGCCGCCCTTTATATATATTAACTCGTTTAAGTGCCATGACAACTCTTAGGTAGCACTACTGCTGCCACTAATTTATGGATTGGGAAACAGAGGCCGGAGAGGTTAGAAGAATCGCCTAAGGTCACAGACATCATGGTAACATATGGCATAGCTGTGATTCAAACCTAGGCTGTGTGTCTCCTAAATCTGTGCCTTTCATAACCCCACACTGCCTCTGGCTGTAACTGTTCTTTGATCTCATGCAATCCCTGGACCTCTGCATTTTTCTCCATGATCCTCTTGCTTCCACTTCTGTCTGCATCTACCCAAGAACCCAAACTGACTTATTTTCATTACTCTCTTGCAACTTAACTTGTCCCTTTGTCCTTCTGCCAAAGCTGCCAGCAAAGCCTCAGTTGCAACAGTCTGGCTTTGTGCCACCTCAAGTCTATGCCTAAACTGCTAAGCCTTGTAGGTGAAAAAACCACGGCTGGGTGGCATGGGCTGTTTGTACATCCACATCCCTGGCATCACTGTGATCCTTAAGGATACTGGGAAACCTCCTACTTCCTAGTCTGAGCTCACCAACCCGTCACTGGACCGCACCTCCCACTGGATGCATCTAAGAAGGCCTCTCCCATCTTGAAACAAAACCCTCCTTCAACCCCACATCTGCCTCCAGCTAACATCTGTCCCTTTCTTGAAAGCACTGTCTACAGTATATATCTCACCTCCTTGTCAAGAGCCAGTCCTCTCCAGTCTGGTTTCTGCCCATCACACCACAGACTCTGCTTTCACCAAGGCCACCAGCTGACTCCTTTTTGCTGAATTCCATGAACACTGTTCAACTCTTAGCTAACTTGACGTCTCCAGAGCTTGGGACCTACTGAAGCCTCCCTCCTGGAAACATACTCTTCCCCTGGGATACAGTTCCCTCAATTTCATCTTCACCTACACAGCCCACAGACCCAGCCAGAAAACCTGGGCTTCATCCTCAGCTCCTCTCTCCCCAGGCTTCCCTCCACACATTTGCCATCTATCACTAAGCCCTGCAGACTCTCCCCTCCAAGCGTCCCGGAATCCATCCCTTCCTCTCTAGTCTCATCACTGCCCCATCTCTCCTCCTAGGATCCTCACAGCTGCTGCCCAGCCCTGCCACCCTCCTCATCCCTGCCTTGATTTTGCTCTTACGGGCTGACCTCACCAGGTGTGTGAGCTCGCTGTGCCTGAGCCATGAGCCTACTTGCTCTTCCCTTGGCTGATCCCAGCTCTACCTTCAGAGTGCAGCTGGGATGCTGCTTCCTTCCTTCCTTCTTTCAGATTTCCGAAACTCTGCAAATCAGGGCTCCTAAACTCCTGATACCCTCATGGTGCCATGACTCCTGTATCCAGGTCTGCAGGCCCTAGCCATCTTCCTTGAGGGCCAAGATTACGTCCACCTTGTTTGGGTGCCTGCCTCTCCCCAGGTGAATATGGGTTAGATAAATGGCCCAGTGAATGTTGGTTAAGTAAATGGTGGGGGGAGACATTGGTCAGAGGGGCTCGTTTTGGGCCCTCCTGGCTTCTCCTGTCTCTTGGATTTGAAGTTGCTCTGTGCTCTCTTCTCTTCCAACCCCTCCTCACTTTGGGCTTTGGGGAGGACATAGAGGGGACAGGTGAGATTCTAGGGCAGAGTCCTACCCAGTTCAGAGCAGGGTGGGGTCAGAGTGGAGCAGAGGAAGCCCCGGAGCCGCCAATGCCTGTGGAGTGTCTCCCCTTCTCCTGCATCAGTCTCTGTCTTTCTCAGCCCTGTCCTCTCACGGCTACAGGTTTTTGACCGCTTCTCTGGGCATTACTCCCGTCCCCTGGAGCTCAGGCTGGATGGAGTCTCTTCCCGTTCCAGTAAGTGTCCCCTCCTCAGCCCCCTCCCGCCAGCCTCCCACAGCTCCTTCACTTGCCTGAGTCGGTCCGTGGACACTCCCCTGCGGGCCTGACCCGGCTGACCCCTGAGCACCCTGGGTCAGCAGGAAGGAAGGATCCCTTGAGCGCAGGACAGCCAGGAGAGAGGCCGGGCACCCCCTCCGCCGTCCACTGGGTTCTAGGGCCTGGGCTGGCGCACAGCACGGGGGTTGGAGGTGAGGTCGCCCTCTCCCACGCGGCTGGGTTTCCGGGCGGGCCGGGGGGTGGTCCTGGACCGAGCAGCTTGGAGACTCTGGATCAGCAGGTGGGTGGGAGAGGGCACCCCGTCCTGGACCCCTAGCCGCTGCGCGCAGGGCAAAGACGCGCAGACCCGCTCCCACTCGGCTCCGCTCCCTTGGCGCAGCCCCGGCAGCGGCGGCGGTGGACTGGGAGGGGCCAACGCGCTGGCCTGTGCGGGTCCCCAGCCGCCTCCCGCCACCCGGAGCCCCTCTCCTCCAAGCGTTGGCCGCCGACCCTCAGCTCCCCTTCAACCCTGGGCGAGCGGGGTTCTTACCATACACCTCCCCTCTCCGCTCCGTTCCGTCCTTCTCCCCTTCTCCTCCAGGCTTCGCGGTCTGCAAGCACCCTTGCAAATAACTCCTAGCCCACCCACACCGTCTCGTACGCACTTTCCGAGAGCCAGGCACGGATATATTGCAACTCACTCTAGGGCACGGGTACAAGTCAAAGTGACTCTGCCTTCAACTTCAAATGGATTCTCCACCTTTTCAGGAGCGGGCTGCAGCTGTAGGGCGGGGGAGAGGTGGAATTTTTCCGGGGATGGGCTTGTTTTCAGCATCCCTTCCAATCAACCACCAATCCTGCACCCTAGAAAGGGGTGTGGCCACGAGCCTGTCTAGCGGGTGACTCTATCTCCTGGTGGGGTGTGTAGGAGCTTTTTGGTTTGAGGGCTGGGGAGGGAGTGCTGGGCAGCAGGCCCACCTCCAGGCTGGGCTGTGTGGGAGGGAAGACTGAGGTGCTGACTTTTCAGACCCTGGAGGAGTTCAGCTGAAAGAACATCTCTCCAACCTCTGCCTTCATTCATTCATTCATCCATTCATAAACCCTACTGCAGCCTTCATGCTGACAGTGGCCCTGTGGGGAAGGGCTACCATATCCTCCCTTTGCATCCGGGTAAAGCCAGGCTCAAGGCCCCACAGCCTCTTGCCCCAGCCCCTGAGAACCAGGATGTGAGTCTTATCTCCAAACTCCAGCCCCAGCCTAGGCAGTCCTCTTCCAGGTTGGCCCAGCAGGCATGCAACTTCAAGGAAACTGCTTGGACCAAGCACTCTCCACCTTTGGGTCACTTGTGTGTTCTCAGCACCCAGCCCAGGGCCAGGCACAGTCATAGTCACAGTCCTGGTGTGAGAATGGCTATTGGAAAGAACCAATTTCTTTTCTTGAACAGACTACTGGAAGAGCTTGGTTCAAAGACCTGTCCCTGTCCACGCCCCTGTCCCATGCTGAAATATTGGAGGGTTCTACTTCTCCCTAATGCTACCGTACTATCCATGCCAGCTGGGCCTGACCTCACCTTTTCTCAAAGTGTGAGGGGGAGAAGCCACATGTCTCCACATTGACTACTCCTGTGACTATGGGAGTGGGGAGGTTGAGGCTGGGGATGTACTTGAGGAAGATGTATTGGGACATTCACCTGGGCTGGAGGGAACATGTTTCAGGAAGCCCACAGCAAGGAAAAAGAGGAACTAGAGGACCAGGCTCAAGAATTTCCACTCAGTTTAAGGGTCCTTTGAAGCCTCACCCAGTTCTTCCCCGGTGGACATAGCTCTTGCTGTTGTATGTTTTCATTCCTTGATTTATTGCACCTGGCCCCCAGCATCTGTCTGTGCCTGGCCCTGCCAGGCACTGGGGATTCCCTAGCCCCATCCTGGGGAGAGCTTGGCTGAGAGGGGTTGATGGGCAGGGGGTAGGGAACCACCCTCTCCACAGCTCAGGCTCCACATCCCCCACTCCCATCCCCTCCACCCTGGGGCATCTCTAGGGCACTGAGGTGAGGATCGAAAAGATGGATAGGAGGAAGGGTCACCTCCTGATTGAGGAGGGACCAGCAGCCTGAGCTATTGTTGATGATAATGAAGGAAAAGAGAAGGGGCAGGGAATAGGCAGCAATCGGGTGGAGAGGAGAGAAATTCAAGGAGAGAAAGTTGCTTCTCTCAGCTGAAGGAACGGAAGTCTCTACACCTGGCCAGCATTTGTGGAAGGCAGCCCCTTTGTGGAGGTATGTCACACTGTGGTCAGAGAGCTGATCCCTGCTGCCCGTGCAGAGGACAGCAGAAGATAGAGCCTTGGATAGGGAGAGATAGGAGACCTGGCTGCAGGCCTGGCCCTGTGACCTTTCACCATGGGACTCGATGAGTCCTTTTTCCAGTGGGGCCTCAGCTTTCCCGTCTGAGATGGACTCTGCTGCTTCAGAAAACTTCAGTTTTCCCACATCCACTGGGGTGTCTTCTGGGTGCCTGGCCCTCTGCTCCCACTCTCAGGAGGGGAAATAGACAAAGGCCACTCAGAGTGATTGGGCTGTGAAGGAGGGAAACCCTGGGGCTGGGAAGCACAGTAAAGTCAGGGGAGGCGTCTAAGAGGAAGTGCCATCTCCACTGATCCTGGAAGAAGGACACTATTTCTAGCTTGTCTTCTGCTCACTAAACCAGGCCAGAGGCCATATGGACAGGGCATCTCTGTAGAGGTCACACAACTCTGCCTGGAGGGTGCAGGTGTGGAGGGAGGAGCAGTGTTTTCTGTGAGGCCACACCTGGGCCTCCTTGCTCCACACTTGCTCTACCCATGGCACATGGGACTTGAAGTGGCTTCCTGGGGAAAGCCTAGGGAATTGTTTTTACATTAAATTGAAGCCATTGGCATTTATTAAGCACCTACTGGTCGAGTGCTAGGTACTAGAGCAGGGGCAATGTTCAGTAGACTTAAGTTGGCTTAATAGTTGTTTTGTGAAAAGGAAGACTTCAGCCCTGCCTGAAAGGTGGCAGCAAGACAGAGATTGGCAGAAGAGAATGAGGAGAGCACGTGGGTAGGAGATTTTTTGAATGGGGCCTTTAAAAGTGGGGAGTTTGATAGGCAGAGAGAAGCAGGGAGGGCCCTGGAGAACACAGGGCAAAGCTTGGAGACAGGAATAGGTTTCGCTTCTTCAGGGAGCAGTGAGAAGATCGGCGGAAGAGAGAAGTCAGATCACAAAAAGCCTTAAGTGGTGGAGTTAGACACCAGGGGTCACAGGGCCGGGCTCAGCTGAGAAGTCGCCTCCTCTGACCCCCAGGCAAGGTTGTTTGTACCTGTCCCTTTGTGAGCCCCCCAGAATCCCCCATCTGATTTGCTGCTGCTCAGAGCCTGTCCCTGAGGAACTGCCAGGAATTTTGATATTTGAAAAAGAATCTTGTCTAGCCCCTCTATTGGGCTAGTGAGCTCTAGAGCTCCTGGGCTAGACCGTGGGGGTGGAGGGTCCTTGTCTGTGGTTCTTGTGGGCCTGTGGTTCACTTCTGAAGCCAGGTTAGAGCAAGGGACTGGGGCATTCTGGTCATAGTCAGGGCCTTGGACCCCAAATTCCAGAGAAACCAATCAGTAGATCGAACAGGCAACAAAGCTGAGCTGTAGTCCAGAAAGAAAGGTCAGGGCAGGAGCCTGAAACACGGGAACCCTGTGGGGGCATCCAGCAACTCCTTGCTCTGGGCCCCAGCCCACACCAGTGGAATCCATTTTCGAGAGCCTTGGCCAGGCGAGTGCAAAAGGCTCCATTCCAGACGCTGTTCCCAGCTGCTCTGGGGTCTGCAGGGCCTGGCGTGTCTCCAGTTCGGGTTTTCTAACCCAGGAGGGCACTGAGATGGGGCAGCCCCTCAGACTTTGCCTCAGCATTCCTCAGCCCCCCGGGTCCCTGGCTTCAGCTTCTCCAGGGTCCTGCTCACGGTAGACAGGCTGCTGCGGGCTCCTGGGGGAGAGACCAGGGACAAGAACTGCCTCAGTAGACAGGTCCCCATGGAGTTGTCAAGGTCAGAGGAACTCAAAGGGACCCAAGGCGGGGGTGCCCGGTGAACCTAGGCAAAGCTGGGATAGAATGGGGAGAGGGGAACATCCCAGGTGACAGTTTCAGCCCAGTTTAAGGAGGTACCTCCAGTCAGGATGGCTTTCAAGAGGACAGCAGCATGGGCTGGGGGTAGAGGCAGGACCCTGGAGCCCACTGCCTGGTTTGAGCTTTGGCTGCAGAACTTCCTGGCTGTGTGGTCTTGGGCATGTTATTTAATCTCCCTGTGCCTCAGTTACCCCATATGTAAAATGAAACTAATGACAGTACTGCCCTCATGTGGTTGTTGTGAGACTTAAAAGAGTGAATAATAGATGAACATGGCTCAGAGCAGTGTCTGGAATGGGCCCTTTTGCTGAGTATTAGCCATCCTACCACTGGTGGCAGAGACTGGGCTGGGGCCATCATTGAGAAACTCCTGCCCTGGAATTTTTCCAGGTGTGGGGTGGAGGAACAAGGAGATGCCCAGTTTGGGGTATGAACTTTAAACTGGGGTGGTTAAAACTAGTACCCAAAGCTGGTATGCATGGGTGCCTCTTTAAACTGGGCTGAAACTGTCCCCTGGCACATCTCCCCCTCCCCATTCTATCCCAGCTCTGCCCTGGGTACTGGGCACACCAGCCTTGGGTCCCTTTGAGCTCCTCTGACCCTGGGGGAGTTGGGAGAGGGGAGTGGGAAAATAAACTGAGGCATGGGACCTGGAGGAGGGGGAGGGGAGGGAGGAGAAGAAGCAGGGAGGTGCCCTCATCCCAGTGTCCATGCTGGGCAAGACAGAAGCCCTCAGGATAAGCAAGAGAAGATCAGTTCAGCTTGGAGCAGCAAGGGTCTGACTGCACACATGGGGGAACTGCCAGCAGTACCATCCCCCTGCACTGAGGAAGCCCCTTCAGGATGCCGCTCAAGGCTCCCAGGCCCCACAGAGCTGCTCAGTCAGGGAGGGGAGATGAAAGACAGACTCAGGCTGGGTGCGGTTGCTCACGCCTGTAATCCTGGCACTTTAGGAGGCTGAGGCGGGTGGATCACCTGAGGTCAGGAGTTCAAGACTAGCCTGACCAACATGGAGAAACCCCGTCTCTACTAAAAATACAAAAATTAGCCAGGTGTGGTGGCACATGCCTATAATCCCAGCTACTTGGGAGGCTGAGGCAAGAGAATTGCTTGAACCCAGGAGGCAGAGGTTACAGTGAGCCGAGATTGTGACATTGCACGCCAGCCTGGGCAACAAGAGCAAAACTCTGTCTCAAAAAAGAAAGATGGGCTTGGGAATTTCTGAAACTTACCTTCCTTGTTGCCATTGGTGCTGGATCTTCCTTCTCCATGGTCTGGCCCTGGATGGGGATGGATTCTTAGGCTTCCTGCAGGATGAGAACACCCCAAGCCCCCCGTGGTCACCGAGCCATTCCCCAAATCAAGCCCAGGTTGGGAAGGGAAGTCGTTCTTGCTGTCTAGTTTCCATCCTTGATGCTGTCTTTGCTCCACTGCATTCCTTTAGGTCTCACATGATCTGGGCTGATTTGGGCAGGAGAAAAAGAACTGGGCCCTTGAAGGAGAAAATGGCAGATCTTTTAGGGAAGTGAGGTCCTGGGGAGAACTGGGGCCCTGGAAAGCCCCATAGGATTGGTGGAGATGGCAGCCTGTATTTGGGGCGCTGAAATGTGGTGGGAACTATGCAGAGGCCATGGGGTCTTAGGGGAAACAGAGGATCTTTCATGGGGGCTCAGGGATGAAGAGGGAGTTATTTAGAGATGTTGGACGCTTTGGGGAGTCATAAAATCTCTCAAGGGAGATGGACTTTCCGGCTCTGAGCTGGTTCAGGCACCTTTGTTGCAGGCACCGGGCCGACTTCTGCTGTGCTGTAGTCATGGCAACGCCTGCACAACACACACACACACACACACACAGCAGCTCTAACACAGACAACTAGAGCGGTCTCATATGGGCTCAGCCCAGCCGCACAGTGGATCACAGACGAACACACAAAGGGTCTGGAACAGTCCTTGGCAGAGGGGTCTGCTGGGGTCAGGGAGAGGCCTCACCTATGGTAGGCAGGATGTGGTCCAGGTTGAACCGAGCCTTCAGGAAGGGGTAGGCCAAGATGAGGAACCCTGAGAAGAGACACAGGAGGTTCTGTAATGGGGAGGGTCTGGTGAATGTTGAGGCTGGGGGTGGGCTGGGAGCCTGAGGGGTGGTTTGTGAGATATGGATGTGCACAGGAGGAGCACAGTGTGCAGAGTTGGGACTGTGAGTGTGTAAATGTGAGCCCGTGGGCGTGTGCATCTGGATTGTGGGGGGCAGTGCCTGTCTGGGGAAGGGGCTACAGTCTGTGAAGGCCCCAGCTGCCTGGCTCCACCGTGCCTAGGTGAAAAGCAGGTTGCTGGAATGAGCCTGGCTGACAGCACCGCTGCCTCTCTGCCGTCCCCACGCTCCCCCAGGGCCCCCAGGGAGAGCGAGCAAGCCCCCCGTGCTTGCCAGACTGGGCGCTTGTCCTCAGCATGCTGCTCTCCACCCAGACCTGGGGAGCAGGAGCAGCAGAGCCAGTCCTGCCTTGCCTGCCCCGACTCCATCCCCCGATGAGCATCTGTGCCAGAACCTGCAGGTGTAGACACCCAAAGTCCCCTAGCCTGGTGCTTCTGGTCCTGCTTTTGGCCTGGGAGGGTGGGGTGGGGTAAGGGATGGCATTCAGCGTCACTGAGGGGCCATCAGTGTGCCTCGCCCACACAGACAGATAGATGGACACAGCTGCTGTGGAGGCAAACAGGGAAAGAAGAGGAAACCCTTTTTCTAAGCTGGAGCCTGTCTTGGCTCAGAGTCCTCAGGAGCTCTGTCCTTTTACCTGCCGCCATCAACACCCTGTTCTGCCCAGATAGGCTGATGAATCCCACCACAAATCCAAGAGTCTAGAACTTGGGGCTGGAGAGCCAGTGGGAGCAGCCAGAAAGGAGTGTGACAGCCAGCTCCCCTTCTTGTCTCCTCCCCGTGGCTGGAAGGAGCCCCAGCGCATCCCTCCTCTCCCACCTGTGCCCTTGATGGCGGTCTTGCTCACACCTTTAGCTTTCATTCTCCCCAACTGATTCCTGCTGACCCAGCCCTTCCCTGTTCCTTGTTTACCTGACCATGCCTCTGCCCCCGCCTCCAGAATCTCCCCTCCCTATCCCATCCCAGCCCCTGCTCACCCAGAACAGCAGCGCCGATAAAGACACCGCCCATGGCAGCTGCAGCCTTGGATACGGAGATGCCAATGATGACGCTGCCAGCCACCAGCCCGAGAGCCACGCAGGCCAGCTGCAGGCAGTGGAAATCTCTGCTGCTGATGGGGATGTCCATGCAGGCCCACAGGGGCACTGCCTCCGGCCGGTGCAGTCTGGACCCAGAAAAATCCTGGAAGTTTCTGGGCTCTTGGATGTCCCCTTGTTGGCGCTCCAACTTCAGGGTGGGAGTTTCTGGGCAGTAAGATTATGGGCGGGGAACCCTGGGATTTATCTGAAGTCCTATCCCACTGCTCCACTAGGGATCCCCCAGTCCCACCTTGACCAGGGATCTGTACCAGGTCACCCAGCTTACTCCTCCTCTCTTAAAGCCCTCTGAAGATGAAGCCCACCCTTGGGACTCCTGTCTGGCCACATTTCTGCTTTGGCTGCCAGAGTTCTAGGGAGCTGGGCCTGCTCCATAGGATCCTTCCCTGCCAGCTTCCACCCAGGAGAGTTCAAGCTCCCCTGCCCAGGACATCCCGCCCCATCTTCCTAGAGCCACTCACTTGCCACTGAGCCTCAGCCTATGAAAATTTAAAGCAATGAGAGGCGGGGTGAAGGGGGAGTTGGTCCAGGGGCCACAGGCTCCTCAGAGATGTAGGCAGCAGGGAGGTGCTGAGTTATTCATGAGGTTGCAATGTGAGCGGCTGTCTGGGTCCCGGGGCCCAGCAGGCAGTCAGCCCAGGTTCCACTGCTGGTTCCTGAGGGAGAAGAATGAGCTGGTGGCTTTGCATGTCATTCAGAAGCCAGGGATGTGAGGAGACTCCTGGTCACATACTCAGGGCCCACTCTGCTGTGCTCTGCCCTTTGGCCTGGAGGTGCACCTGGGGTCTCTGCTTGGAGTCTGAGATAGACACAGGGCAGGAGGCTCAAGAGACAGGAACTGCACCTGGGACAGAAAGCAGGCAGGGAGAGGCATCTCTCCAAGTCTGCTCCCTACCCCTGCCCATCACATCCCTATCCTGTTCACCTCTGGGCTCCCAGGCAGGGCTGAGGGCATCCTACTTTGAAGCTTGATCTCACGGGACTTCCTTGTCCTCAGGTGTGGGCTTGGTACCCACCCCCCTTTTAGCGGCCAGTGGAATGGAGGGTGAACCCTTCTAGCCACCTTGGGGATCCCTGACTGGGAGTGACAGGGAAGAGCAGTGGTGGCGCTGGTGTGGGCAGGAGGAAAACACCTAAGGGGTGGGGTAGGGAAGAGGACTTGGTAGGGGCTGGGTCATGGTTGGTGCCTTCCCACCCGCTGAACTGAGTATTTGCACCCAGCCCATCTGAGCTACTTGCAGGATCCCCCAACCCAAGGCTGGGCAGTGGTCACCAACCCAGCCCAGCCCTGAGCCCTGCCCCGGCCCCTAATTCCAGCCTTCATCATTCATTGCATTATTTGACTCTTTATGGATCGGGGCCTTCCCAATCCCAGAATATGGCCCCGGCCTGGCCCTGCACCTGGGCACAATTCCTAGGGTCCCATAATCCTACTCAGAGTCCCGTCACCAGCCTCCCTGGCCTCTCTTTGGATGCTCCCTCTCTGCACCGCATATGCAGTCTCATGTCACCAGGCTCAACTTCTCGTCCCTCCACCTGCCTCCATGGCTGCCCTGTTCTTGTTCTATCTCTTCTGTAGACTGACAGCCCCTTGAGGGCAGGTTCCAGGAGTGAGCTCCCCAGAATGCTGTGGCTGGGAGGGAGCTGAGCTAGTCTTCTGGACACAAGGACAGAGTTCAGGGAGAGGCCTTGGACTGCACGACCACCTCCAGTCATCAAACAGGAGGGCTGTGGACACATGGGAACCTCTGTCTCTAGCAAGAGGCATTCCTTGTATGTGGAGAAGGGGACCTGAGAAGGCCCAGGGTCACCTAAGCGGAGCTTCAGCTCACGATGAGTCTGTAGAGAGGGGTGACTACAGCACAAAGATGGGCCCTGGACTGTGTTCCTGGCCCCCACAGAGGGAAAGCCCCTGGAGCTGGGCACTCCCCAGCCACAGAGCTGCTGCCAGCATCCGCTGTGCCTCCTGCCTGGATGAGATCTGATTATTCCTCTAATTAGGCATCAAATCATAGCCCATGTCTCTGTCACACATAATTGATCCCCCACTGACTTAGTTTTAGAAGGAGCCTCCAAAACAATTGTCCATGAAACGTGTTTCTGGCTCCTCTCAAAGTCTAAGGCTGAGGGCAACTCTCTCACACCCTCACCAAGACAGAAGCTCCTGGGGCCGTGTTTTCTACCTTGCACTATGGGGCTCGGGCCAGCCATTCCACTTCCCCGAGCCCACTGCCTTGTCTGGTGATGGGGACGGGGGTGGCAGAGGCACCTGTGCACTGCTTCAGATCTCAGAAAACATTCTGACCTCAAAGGAGAGGCACGTTAGGCCTTTATCAGTTCCAAGATCACAGAACCAGGGCCGTCCCAGCACTTTATAAAACAGGTGGGGAATCCAAGACATGGGGAGACAGGAGAATTGCCCCAGAGTCCTCATGGATCCTGCCCCGCTGGGAAGTACTCTGGCCTATCTGCCCCTGAATTTCAACAGTGTTTTAGTTGAGGTGGGAGGAATTGGCAGCCCCACCTTCAGAGGGAGACATTGTGTTAAAAAATTAGTCAAGGGACCAGGCATGGTGGGATTACAATCCCAGCACTTTGGGAGGCTGAGGCAGGGGATTGCTTGAGGCCAGGAGTGTAAGACCAACCTGGCAACATGGCAAAACCCTGTCTCTACAAAACCAAAAATTATCTGGGCACAGTGGTGCATGCTTGTAGTCCCAGCTACTTGGGAAGCTAAGGTGGGAGGATCGATTGAGCCCAAGGAGGCTCAAGGCTGAGGTGGCAGGATCGCTTGAGGAGGAAGTTGCAGTGAGTCGAGATCACACCACTGCACTCCAGCCTGGGCGATGGGTGTGAAATCCAGTCTCAAAACAAGCAAACAGAAAACAAAACAAAACAAAACAAAAACAACGAAAATCAGTCAAGGCCTGCCTCTTTCCCTCAGGACCACGAGTGTGTCACTGAAGGCTTCCAAAACAGTTGTGATGTAGAGAGGGAGGCCTGCCAATTCTTCCCTCAATTTGGGCTCTGAAAAAGTAAAGGTATGTGTGTCCTTGAGTGATGTGCTCACAGCAATAGGTAAATGAGTTCAGGAACCTCTCTGTGAGTCATGCTGAGAGGGAGGCCCAAGGCACCAGGGCTCCATCTCCCCACCAACCCTCCACCCCTCCCAAGCATCAGAGCCTCCCTGCTGAACCTGGGTGCTCTTGGAGGCCACAGTTCTCAGGCATGGCAAGGCCCCGGGCACACTGCTGAATTCCATCACCCAGTCTCTTCTCTCCGCCTCCTGCTGAGGCAAGGGCTGGAGAGCGTCTGCCCATGCTCCTTCCTTCTCAGTGCACGAAATCCAAGTATGGCGTGGGGGTGGGGAGGAACAGTGGGCGAAAAGGCCCCAGTCTGGTTTGGTTCTGTTTATTTTCCTTGAGGGGTGAGAACCCTGGAAAAGAGCATGATTAATTCACCAATACCCCAGAGGACGGGTAGCTTTCTTGGACCATTTGGAAGCTGAAGTCAGGGAAGCGGCTTCCAAGGCAACGGCTACCATGGCAACAAAAGTGCCAGCCTTGGGGGGACCTTGCTCCTCAGCCCCCTCCAGACCTGAAGCAGCTGGAGTGCTGGCATGGGACCAAGGCACCACTGTTCATGGAGCTGGGTCTGGAAGGGGCAGTTGGCCAGGAGGGAGGAGGGGCCCCCAGAGCCCAGGTAGGTAGACATACAGAAGGACAAAGACAGGACGGGTCCCTGTGCCCAGAGGCTCTCAGACAGGAGTCCTCAGGGTCCAGCTGAATCAGGGCTGGGGCTGGGGCCAAGGCCTGATCATTAGGTTTTAGAAGAGAGGTCTGAGGCTTGAGACGCTCCAACTGGCTGGGACCAGCTCTCTCCTTCTAGGCCCCGCCCACGCGAGAGCTCTGGAGCTGGGGAGCTGCCTTCCATCATCGCAGATCCCATGCCTGAAAGGGGGTCTGCGGTCTCAGAGCCTCCTCAGTGCGTCTGCCGGATCTGCCTCTGTCCAGCAGAGCCAGGACTTCCAAGGTCACCAGTGAATAGTGGCAGTACTGGAACCCAGGGCTCTGGTCCTCACTTCAGGCTCTTCCCCTTGTGCCATAGCTGCCCCTCTGGGCCAGGGGCTGCATCCCGGAGGGACGGAGCAGCCTGTCTGCAGGAGGATCCCACAGAGGGACAGAGGCCTGGCTCATCTGAAGAGCCCCAGATCTGTCTCCACAGCACACAGTGCTTCTGTAGAGTGCTCCCGGAGCCAAGGACCAGGGAGGGCTCGTCTCCCGCACTGGGACCGTGAGTTGTGTAATTCTGCCCTGGCAGACAACAGTAAATACAGGAGTCCCCCATTATCCCTAGGGGACACGTTCTAAGACCCTTGGTGGATGTCTCAAACCATGGACAGTACCAAACTCTATATATTACAATTTTTCCTATATATACATATCTGTGATAAAGCTTAATTTCTAAATTAAGTATAGTAAGAGATTAACAAAATAGAACAATTGTAATAATATATTGTAATAAAAGTTATATGGATGTGGTCTGTCTCTCAAAATATCCTATTGTGTTGTACTCATCTATTTTGACCATAGGTAACTGAAATTATGGAATTAAGCGAAACTGTGGATCAATGGGGACTACTCGATTAGCTAAAACTATAATAGCTAACATTTATGGAGCACTTACTATGTGGGCCTGGAACTGCTCTCAACACTTGCATTTATTAATTTGTAACTTTCACAACAGTTCCATGAAGTAAGCACTATCATCCTCATTTATAGTTGAAGAAACTCTCAGAGATTAAGTAACTGGCCCAAGCCCCAGAGCTAGTAAGTGGCAGAGCAGGGATTTGAATGCAGGCAGCACAGCGCTGGGTCCCAAGCCTTCCTGGAGGGAATTCCAGTTCCACCATTCCTAGCTGTACAGCCCTGGGCAAGCTATTTTTCCTTTCTCTGCTTGGTTTTTCATGTCAAGTGGGATAAAATAATAGTACCTACCTCATAGGACTGCTAAGAATTAAATGCTAATGCCCGTAAACTTCTTAGAAAGTACCTGTTACTTAGTAAGTGGATGACAATGCTGGCAAAACCAAGGTCAGCCAAAACCAAGGTCATGGCGTTTAAGCAGAGCCATGCAGGATGAGAGGGGCCTTGCCAGGTGGGCCAGGCTGGGGAGGTGGGCTGGGACAGGCCACAGCTTGAGCCAAGGCACAGAGGCCTGAGAGTCTGGGGGACTTGCAGCTGGGCAGGGTGTGGGCCAGGGGTGGAGAGTGCTTGACCTAGGAAGCCCCCTTGAAGTCACATTCCTGTTGGGCCTCCCACTAGGCCGGGCTGGAGTTCAGGGATAGAACTCGTATCCTGGTTCTGGGTCTCCAGGGGCTGGGAGTCTGTGGGCCAAAAGGGTCAGATTTTGCAGGTCTGTTTTCCTCACCAAGCCCACTCCAGGTAGATGAAAAAGGGATGTGAGGGTGTCAGGCTTACTGTCAAGGGAAGACTGTCAACAAACAGTATGTATTGTCAACGGGGAGGCATTCATGGCATAGGACAGCTGGGAGCCTGGCCCGTCACCTGTCCCAAGGGAAGAGCCCTAATCCCATCTCCCCTCTCTGCCCTCCCGAGGGAAAGCAGCTGTCACCAGCACCCAGGCCACCGCCCAGACTCTCAGACCTCCCTTGCCACCTCCTTGGGAACTTATAAAGGTCCTTTCCACTCCAGTCCTCTCCTGTCCGGCTCTGAGGATTGCCTGGGACAATGGACACCAAAGTCCTTTGCATGATGTACATGAGGGCTGTGGATGGGAGGCGCCATTTTTCTTTGTTGCATAGTCCCAGGCACATGACACCCCCTTGATAAAGGCTTAGTAATGCTTTAGACAGAGGGGAAATTTGTTTCCTGCTTATGGGCTGCTGGGCACAGAGGACATCTATCAAAGTACATTCTGAAGTCTCCTGTGTCATGGTCGCTGATACCACCTCTACCACTTGATGGGGAGCTCCTAGAAAGCAGAGGCTGTTTCTTACTCATTTCTGGGTCCTGGCACAGAAGAAGCAATTGATAAATGTTTGATGAATTTCATTTCCTCACCTAGAAAAAAAAAAAAAAAGCAATTTCTCCTTCACCTTGTTTTTTGTGTCCAATGTGGTTTTTATTCAGGGGTCCTGATAAGAGATACCTTCTCCCCACCTGGCTGGACTTAGCCCCAGTTTAGAAGGCCAGTCTCCTTCTCAGGTCTGCAGGTAAAAGGAGGACCACCAAATAGGCCACAGCTAGAATTTCAGTTTTATTAAAATAAGCACAATGTATAAAAGCACCATGGTGTTGTATAAACGTCTGCCTGACAAATGCAAATCTATTTTCTTTATGTAACTCAACAGTTCAGCTTATCTGAATGGCTGTACCTTCATGAACTCGGGCAGCAGGCACTGCGTCGCTCAAACAGGGCAGTGAGGCTTCACCCCAGTGTGGCTTCACCTCAGGCACAGAGCTCCATCTAACTGCCCAGATCTGTGCCACCCACACAAGACCTGGGGACACAGCAGCAGACACCGACGCTGTCTCTAAGTTTGTCATAGGAACAGCTTAAAATCAGTTAGAATAGGGCACTGCTGATTAAAACCCAAATGCATGGACATTCCAGAAAGAGCAAGCCGTTACACTCTCTGGGAAGTTCATGGGCTTGCAGTGGGAGATTAAGGTCCCATCTTTGCTGGAACAGCATGGTTAAAAAAAAACCAAACTTTTTTTTTTTTTTTTAAAACAAAATACAACTGACTTTAGCAGCAATCACAATCAAAGGGGATGATAAATGAGGGACACATTTCAGTCACGGCAAAGAAAGATTATGTGCTTCTCCGTGCTGCAGATCGGAAGACTGATCTGATTTCCTGAATGAGGAAGGCTCCTTGCCCTTCCCTGAATTGAGGGGATGGCTTTGCTCAGCCAAGGGAGAAGACGGGCAAAGAGGACATCCGGAGGACAGAGGAAGGTGGAAGGACCGCCAGAGGAGGGTGACAGAGCTGAGAGGGAAGAGGCACATGTTGGCAGCCTCTGTCAACTGATGCTTCTTGCTTCTCCCTGCAGGCTGCAGCCGCAGCCGCCGCTACAGCGTTGAGAGCAGGCCGGATCCCAGATCTGCAGGCGGTGAGCAGGTGGAGCCCAGCGAAGAGCTGTTCCTGCTGCAGGCAATTATGCAAAGTGACAAGTGATTGCTTTCCTTTTCAAAGACAACCCCTTTGGAAAAAGCTTTTTCCTCCAGGACCCTAGGGAAATGGGGGTTGGTGGGAACTTTAGTGCCTCCGTAGATGAAAAGGCCTGAGTGGAGCCACAGAGCAGATGCTGTCACCTGCTCAGCAGACTTTAGCCACACAGGTTTCCAGGGGGACAATGCCAGGCCTAGGGTCTATAAGGTGTGACTGGAGCATTTCAGAGTGCTGTGGGCGGGCTCCTGTCTTCACCACGGCCTGCCTGGGCCTGGGCCCGCCTCCGGGCCAGGCGTGACTTGCAGGGAGGGGAAAGCTTCATGGAGCAGAGGCCATCGGCCAGCGCCTCTGGCTCCTCCGCTAGTTCATTCTCTTCGTGCTGAGAAAGCTGGCGGTTAAGGGCGATGGCCTCAGCTGCGAAGAGCGTCAGGTCCATTGTGCTGCTGTTCCTGCAGGGCCGGGGGAAAGCACAGAAAAGAGGACCAGGACTCTGGGGTCAGCCAGGCCAGCTCCGGGACACTCCCACTCGCTGCTGTGGCGCTGCACTCCCACAGATTTCCCAGAGCCGGGACGGGCTGCTCTCTCCAAAGTAGTTCTTGCCTAGGTTTGGAATCTGGCTTGACTGAGGGATTGTAATTTGAGCCCCAAGTACCATCCCTGGACTTGATGGTAAGGGCAAGCTCCCCCTTCTCCTCAGGGTACCCTCCTCTGAGCTCCCACAACGCTACATACAGGTCTACCAGGGGCAGAGACCGGGCACATTAAACGCACCTGTCCCTCCCTCGCCCGGCCTGGGTGGGGAAAAAGCTCCCCGAGCAAGGCCTGCGCTGCTTATGTCACGTCCCCAGCACCTAGCTCAGGACTAGCAGGGACAGGCACTTCGGGTTTGCAGAATAAATCTTCTAAGGTGGATCTGAGGTTTGGCACCTAAAGGCATCTGGAGGCTGCTCTAGAGAGTCAGGTAGGAACTCAAATTGGGCAAGAGCAACTGGGTCACACGAATTGAGATTACGGAGGTGTACGACTTCCTTGTGTAGCTCCTAAAAGCTGGCCATGAGGCTGGTGCCAAAACGGTTTCCCACACTGCTTAGCCCTGGCTCTTTGGGAACAGGGCAATCCAGCTGTGAAAGGGCTCCAGAGTCCAACAGCCCAGGGCTGCTGTGTGGCCTTAAGCAAGTTAACTTGATTGCCACTCCTCACCTCTCTCATCTGGAACACCTCTCTTAAATTCATCGTGAAGATTATGGATATAATTGTATGCAGCCCTTAGCACCACGTCTGACATGTGGTAAGGACTTATTATTTTTTTGAGACAGATTCTTGCTCTGTCGCCCAGGCTGGAGTGCAGTGGCGCGATCGCGGCTCACTGCAACCTCCACCTCCTGAGTTCAAGCGATTCTCCTGCCTCAGCCTCCCAAGTAGGTGGCATTACAGGCACCTACCACCATGCCTGGCCATGGTAAGGCCTTAATCCTAGTGGCCACTATTATCACCGTCCATCTAGTACTGTACGTGCCCCTCACTCCTGCTCCTTTCACCACATGCAAGGGCAGAGGGAAGCCGCGTGTGAATAACCCATGGGTAAGGTCTATCTTTGGGCTGTAAGTTACATTTCAATGGGAAAAACAGATTTTTTTTTTTTTTTTTTTCCTGCCAACAGTGCTAGGAGGGGCCTTTAAGGTGCTGGAGGGCAGAGGAAGCAATCTAGGTGAAGGCAGGGAAGGGTGAGAGATAGATCCAGAGTAGAGGAAAAGAGAGTGAGGAGGGGAAATGGGCAGGGAGCCCCTTTGGAGAAGGCTACTTGAGCCTAGAGATGGGCTCCCTGGGCCCCACCTCCACCCCCATGGTGGCGGAGAGCTTGAGGAAGAGCAGGGTGTGGGGGTGGTCAGAGCATTTACCTCTGGAGGACTTGCGGCGTGGGGAGTCCCTTTTCTGGAGCTTGCTAGAATGGGAAGGACAGATGTGTAGGTAAAGCACTGCTCCCTCCTTCCAAGAGCTGCCCCCACCCAAGCCAGCAGTGGGGAGGTGACTCTAGGCTGCTGGCCCAGCACAGGGACTCGGCTCTGCTTGCTTGCAGGGTCAGGCCTTCCAAGCAGAGCAAGGAAGGTACAATCTGCAGTCGCAGCCCCCAGCACAGCTGCTTCTGCATGCAAAGCCCCTCTTTCCCTTTGCCTGGCAAAGTCCTAACCATCCCCCAGGACCCAGCTCAAGGGTCACTTCACCTGTGACGCACATTTCCCCTTCCCTGCCACCTTCCTGCCTCAGTCTCAGGCCCGGGATGGGGAGTGGGGTCCTGCTCCCTTTGTGCCCTTAGCACTGTTTAGAAGCCTTTATTATGCTGTAACTTATCCCCTTGTCTACTTCTCTCCACTAGAGCGTCGACACAGGGACTGGGTCTCACTTGTCCCTCTGGCATGTGGTAGGTGCTCACTTATGGGTCTGGGAATGAGCCACTTAGACACTCCAACTGGGTCCCCGACTGTAACACAGGCTGCCAATGCTTGCCTCCTTCCACTGGTAGGGTCGCTGAGGCTGGCCAGGGCCTGGCACACCAAGGAGACCAGTAAGTCATGGGAGCATCTGGCAGACCCCTTGGAGGGCAGAGGTCAGGTACTGAGTAGCCAAGGAGGATTCTAAAAAATGTTTTCTAGTGAAAACATGAATTCTAAGCTTAGGGAAAAAATACCATCATTTGCCTTTCAGGCCAGCTGTACCCAGACTCCCAGACCATGAGGAGAACCTATGTGCCCCAACTCGGCCACACACCAATCAGCGCAGCAAGGCCTCGCTCGCTTCTGGGTGCTCTCAGCTAATGATGCTTCCATATAAGGGGAGGATGCTACAGACTTCAAATGACAACAGGATGCTTGCAGGTAACAAATCCCCAGAGGACTGTGTTAGGGCTCAGTCTGTGGCCAAGGTTAGAGCCAAGTCTATGGCCTATAAGGGGCTCAGTCTGGGGTAACAGGAGGAGGTGATTCGCTCTACACACACAGGAATAGATGCTGTCCGCTTCAGCTGTGCCAGCCACAAGGCTGGTGCTCAGCACTCGCTGGCATGACAGCTTCCTTGTGGCCATGCCACAGGCCTGGAATGGTGGAAAACACCCCTTCCGGGAGTCACTCACCCCCTGCACCCATGGGTGCTGCAGAACTTGGGCGGCGCTAAGCCTCTGCTTCGCATCTCGCACCAGGAGCTTGGAGATGAGGTCTTTGGCCTCACTGGAGATGTGTGCCCAGTCCTTGTCAGGAAACTCATACTTGCCTTCCTGGATGCTTTCAAACAGCTTGTTCTAGGTACAAAAGATTCCTCCTGAGGCCACACTGCCGGGGATGGGCAGGATGTGCTTGTCACTGTTTTGATCAACCAGCTTCAATTGATCTCAGCTGTAGCTGCAGCTCATGGCTTGGGGATGCCACAGACTGGGGCCTCTTCCCAGACTCACCCCGCACTATCCCCTAGATGAGCAAACTATACAGAATGCCCTTGGCAGGCCAGGATGATATGCCCTTGGTGGGCTGGATGGGTGATGAGTGGAGACTGCCCACAGAACAAAGCCCAGATTCCTTGGCTCTTCCTAGAGGACTCTCTGTGAACCTCTCAGGCCTCATCTCCCACTACCACCAACCTACTACTCCACTTTTCCTTCCTAGACACTCCAGCTATTTCATGTGTCCATGTCTGTGCCTGTGCTGTTCCTTCTACTTGTGATTCTTGTCCCTCTTCCCCAGGGCAGGATGCACCCTTTAAGAGTCAGTTCAGGGCTGGGCGCGGTGGCTCACGCCTGTAATGCCAGCACTTTGGGAGGCTGAGGCAGGCAGATCACAAGGTCAGGAGATTGAGACCATCCTGGCTAACACAGTGAAACCCTGTCTCTACTGAAAATACTGAAAATTAGCCAGATGTGGTGGCAGACACCTGTAGTCCCAGTTACTCAGGAGGCTGAGACAGGAGAATCGCTTGAACCCAGGAGGCAGAGGTTGCAGTGAGTCAAGATCATGCCATTGCACTCCAGCCTGGGCGACAGAGTGAGACACTGTCTCAGAAAAAAGAAAAAAAAAAAAAAAAGAGTCAGTTCAGGCATGATCTTCTCTAACAATCCTGCCCTGAGCTCCCAGCTGGGCAGAGTGTCTGATTTTATCAGAGTGTCAGATATCTCTATTTTACCTTGTGGCCACCCTGACAAGACGGGGAGAGGGCACTATGAGCCCCCATCCTGATCAGGAATGCTCTCCCAGCCCAGTCCTGCTTGGCATCCCCCAACCACACTGACCCCAAGCAGGGTCTACGCAGTGCTTCCTGGGGCCACACTCACCTGGCACACCCTGCAGACCTCGCCCCGATCCCAGCCACAGTCGGCCCCGCAGTGGCCCACAAAGGGCGGGTAGCCGCTCAGCATGATGTAGAGGACCACACCCAGGCTCCACAGGTCACAGCGCTTGTCGTAGAATGTGGCCTGGTCCGTGAAGACCTCCACCACCTCAGGGGCCATGTATTCTGCTGAGCCACACTGTGGGGGCCAGGGTTGGGGGAGGGGGAGATGGCAGAGAACAGAGAGGCTTAGTTACAGCAGAGGGGATGGCAGAGAGCAGACTGTGATGGGACTGGAGCAGGAGGCTGGAAGGATGGGAGACAGAGCAGGAAGTCATCAGGAAGGCCAGCCAGTGAGCTGCCTGATGCCACCAAGGCACCTGCAGACTGAGCCCCATCATTCCCCAGTATCCAGAGGAGCAGTTCAGGTCACCTTATCCTTCCAGCTCCTCCTCCAGGAGGCAAAGACCCTTGGCCAAGAAGTTCCAGGAATCTCTCCCTGCCTCAGCTTCCTATAAACAGATATTTCATGTACAGGTACTTAAATGCACCAAGAATATGGCTCCTGGAGGGAGATCCAGTTCCACACAGCAAGATTTCTTAAAGTGAATCCTGCCAAGCTCCCCTGCTAGCTCAGAGCAGGAAGCGTAAGAATTTAGAATTAAGAGACCATCAAAGCTAGAAAAGCTCTTAGAACAAATCCAACCTTCCCACCCCTCCCATTTATAGATGGCAAAGGCAAGGCCGAGAACAGGACAGGGATTTGTTTGAGCACATCAATGGCACACCTAGGACCAGAATCCAATATTCCTTTCTCTCACCCTTGTGTAGAAAACAGCTGATAGGAATCAAACACATTCTTTTTGCTTCACTCTTCACTATTTCAGGCTCGCCAAGAAAGAACCACCTCCCCGCTCCACACACCCTGCAAAACTAATTTGACTGAAAGACGGTAAGTGTTCTTAAGAAAGGATATTTTCTTTGTTATTGGCATTTAGAGTTAATGACTTTGAAAACAAGGTAGCCCGGTGTGTTAGAGGCTAATAAACATTCCTGATAATGTTGTTTAGAATAAGATACAACACAGGCATATTAAGGGCATGTCTTAAAAGGGTTATTAGGAAAATTTACTTGTGAAGCATACAAATCTCAAAAGAATCAGAATTATACTCTATTAGTTGTACAAGAGATGTCTTGGGAAGAAGTAGCTCCAAGCAGCACCATCTGGTCATGAAATGTGAAATCAGAGAAGCAAACAGGCTAACTTGGCCAAGCGATCCCACGTGCATATAGACTGAGACCTCACAGTTCCCACCACAGAGAGACTATCCTGTCCAGTCAGGGAGGACTGCTCCCCATCCCCCATCACAAGGGGGCTGCGCTGTGCCTTCAGCAGTGGGAATGGGGCTTACAGAACTACCAAATGCTCATATGCAAAAGCGCTGGCCTGGGAGTAGGGTCTGTCTTCACCTGGGTCAGGAGTCAGGGTTCAGCCTGTGCTTTTTTTTTTTTTTCAGATGGAGTTTCGCTCTTGTTGCCCAGGCTGGAGTGCAATGGTGCGATCTCGGCTCACTGCAACCTCCGCCCCTCGGGTTCAAGCGATTCTCCTGCCTCAGCTGCCCAAGTAGCTGGGATTATAGGTATACACTACCACGCCTGGCTAATTTTGCATTTTTAGTAGAAACGGGGTTTCTCCATGTTGGTCAGGCTGGTCTCAAACTCCCGACCTCAGGTGATCCGCCCACCTCAGCCTCCCAAAGTGCTAGGATTACAGGCATGAGCCACTGCAAATGGCCAGCCTGTGCTTATAATTTGTCTCTTCATCAGCAGAGAGGACTCACCCCAAACTAACAGTCCAAGTGTCAGTTTCATTAGCAACTAAGGGGTCAGGGGAGGCTTGAGAGCCACGAACACAGAGCAGTAAGCAAAATGACCACTCAGGCAGCAGGAAGATAGGTCCAGTTGGTTTGCCATCCTTAACCCTCTGTTCTGGACCTCCCAGCTCTGGGTCAGGGAAACACTCCAAATACTTAGGAGCCCAGAGGAAGCATACATACTGGCGTGGTCAGCTCCGGTGTGGTTATGGGGGTGCAGGAGTTGTTCAGTTTCACCCCACTGCCCAAGTCAAAGTCACAGATTTTCACTGGAGACACCTGAAAAGGAAAACAGAAGCCAGCGTCACAGACATAAGAAACTACAGGGCAAGAGGAGCCAGGCATGGCTGTATGAGTGCATGGCTGAGTGGCTGTCACGCCGCAGCTGGTTTTATTAGGTCATGTTTGCTCTCCGGAGGTTAACAAGAAGTCCCCTGAGGATTTCTTCCCAAGTGTCTTATTCCCTGTGCTCTCTTATTTCCCAACTAAGGGAAAAATGGGTGGACGATTTGGTGTCGGATGATTGTGAACTCAGACCAAAGTAAGAATGGAACTCTTGCTGGCAAACGATGGTACAGGTTGCAGCACAGCAGCTAGGGGAGTTACTATGCACTCCTGAGAGACAGACTTCTTGCAGCCCATTCAGTGGAGTGCAAAGGAGCTTGCAGTAAAACCCCTGACCGCCTCAGGTGGCTTAGGGTGACCAACTTGTCTGGGGTGGCTTGCTTGGGACTTGATCAGTCTAAACACAGAAAGTCTCATGTTCCAGGAAACCCCTCAAACCTGGGAAAACTGGGATGGTTGGTCACTGTAGGTGGCATCAACACAGTAAGCAAGTCCACCAGAACTGGATGCTGTGCCTGAGACCACAGACAGGTGCCTCATCTCTGGAGCCAACCAGGAGGGCACTTTGGGTACACACATGAGAATGGATGAGAATGGCCTACATGGTGTGTAAGCAGCACAGCGAGTGAACTAAATGCTGGTTCTCTGAGACCCATGTCCTCGCCGGGAAGCCTGGGCAAGTCCCTCGACTTCTTTCTCTCCTTCCTTCCTCCCTCCCCTGTTCTCTATTTTTCTTCTTTTCTTTTTCATTTAGCCCCTTTCTCATTAGTGGTAAAATATAAAGCATAAAATATAAGATTTTAGCCATTTTTAAGTAGACAGTTTAGTGGCATTAACTACGTACATTCACACGGTTGTGCAACCATCACCACGATCTGTTGCTAAAACTTTTCCATCACTCCAAACAGAAACTCTATACGCATTAAGCCATAACTCCCATTCTTTCTTCCCCTAGCCCTGGGTAACTTCCAATCTGACTTTATGAATTAATAAAGACTTTCTGTCTTTATTAATTTGCCAATTCAAGATATTTCATATAAGTAGATTTACACAATATTTGTCCTTTTATGTTTGGCTTATTTCACTTAGCATAATGTTTTCAAGGTTCATATATGTATCAAAACCTCATTCCATTTTATGGCTGACTAGTATTCCATTGAATGTATGTACCACATTTTGTTCATCTATTCAGCTGCTGATGACCACTTGAGTTGTTTCTACCTTTTGGCTGTTGTGAATAATACTGTAATGAATACTGGTATACAAGTATCTGTTTTCAATTGTTTTGGGTAATACCTAGGAGTGGAATTGCTGGGTCATATGGTAATTCTGTGTTTAGCCTTTGAGGAATCACCAAACTTTTCCACAGAAGTTGCACCATTATATAATCTCACCAGCAATGTATAAGGGTTACAATTTTTCCATATCCTCAACAACACTTACTATTTTCCATTTTTTAAATTACAGCCTACCTAGTAGTATGTGGTGGTATCTCACTGTGGTTTTGACTTGCATTTCCCTAATGACTAAGGATGTTGAGCATCTTTTCATGTACTTGTTGGACATTTGTGTACCTAATTGGAGAAATGTCTGTTCAAGTCCCGTGTCCATTTCTAAATTGGTTTGTCTTTTTGTTGTAGCGTTTTAGGAATCCTTTATATATTTTGGATATTAAACCTCGACCAGATATATGATCTGCAAATATCTTCTCGCATTCTGTAGACTGTCTTTTCACTTTCTTGGTAGATAATGTCCTTTGAAACTTAACCTCTCTTTTTCTTAAGAGACGGGGGTCTCACTATATCACCCAGGCTGGCCTCAAACTCTAGGCTCAAGCAATTCTCCTACCTCAGCCTCCTGAGTAGCTGGGACTACAGGCATGCAACCACTGTGCTCAGCTAATTTTTAAATTTTTTGTGGAGATGGGGTCTCGCTTTGTTGCCCAGGCTGTTCCTAAGCTCCTGGCCTCAAGTGATCCTCCCGCCTCAGCCTCCCAAAGTGTTGGGATTACAGGCCTGAGCCACTGCCTGGCCCCAATTATTCTTCTCTTTCTCCTTCCCCCCTTTTGCTTTTCCTTTCCTCACTTTCTTGTTTTGAGACAGGGTCTCTGCTGTACAGGCTGGAGTGCAGTGGTGTAATCATGGCTCACTGGCTATCCATGTTTCCTAACTTGAGTTTCAGTTTCCTCGTCCATAAAATGAAGGTAATAATAGTATCTACCTCATGATATTTTATAAACACTAAATAAATATAAGTGCCTGGCACAATGTAAACATTCAAGAAATGTTCACTGTAATTATCAGTAGTAATCATAATAATAAATTATCAAGTTCTATGACAGAACCAATGACAGGAAGTCACAAGATCTTATTTGAGTGAATCCATTATTATTCCCCATAAAAGAGTTGTGAGTAGCAGACTGACTCATTCATTCAAGGCCACCTCTTATTTATGAGCCATGACTTCATCCAGACCACAATATATATGCTCTTGAATACACACATGTATATACATGCAGAGCAGTGAACACGGGCCCCAGCACCACCAGGGCCTAAATCTCTCCTAATAAACACAGAATTTGTCAAATTCATATACTTCCATTTACTTAGAGAGATCTGCCTCATATAAGATTAAGTTGTTTGGCTGGGCGTGGTGGCTCACATTTGTAATCTCAGTACTCTGGAAAGCCGAGGCAGGTGGACTGCTTGAGCTCAGGAGTTTGAGACCAGCCTGGTCAACATGGTGAAACCCCTGTTTCTACTAAAAATACAAAAATTAGCCAGGTGTGGTGGCACATGCCTGTTGTCTCAGCTACTTGGGAGGTGGAGGCGGGAGGACCACTTGAGCTTGGGAAGTTGAGGCTGCAGTGAGCTGTGATCATGCTGCTGCATTCCAGCCTGGGTGACAAAGTGAGACCCCATCTCAAAACAAAACAAAACAAAACAAAGGTCTTCACGACTTACATCAACTGAATAAAGGTAGGTGCACTGGACTAGAAAATATTAATTTTGTGTAGGTCTCATATATTTTCCAAACTTTCAGGCTTACATCAATCACACTGATGATCAAGAGCAAAGAAAGGACGAGGATGGGCAGAAACATCACACAGCAAGTGTAACATTCTTACATGTCCAAGATGATCAGTTCAAGTTGGTGCCTGAGGCCAACGGAACTGCTAACAATCCATCCTGAAAGCAAGGATGGCTTCCTCGGTAGGTATAAACTATAACGTTCCAAATCAGGCCCAAAGTACCTTTTCTGGAGATTCACACAATATATTTTCTGGTTTCAGATCACGATGAGCAATGCCTGACATGACAAAGAGCAAAAAAATGGTTAACATATGCACATAATTATCCAACATTCCACACACAATTAATTTTTTCCAAATGCTGTTGTTCGCAGATTAATTCCCGATTATGGTACATTAAAAAATCAACGAGCTGCAGGAGGCAGAAGTAACCAGAGACACAAACCAAAAGCACAGTTGATTCTGCAGGTTCTTTTGAAGAGGAGGGTTTAGAAGTCTGGCAGGGATAAGAAGGGCTAAATGAATCCCAGCCAGCCTAACCCTCAGCACCACAGTGACCACCAAGAAGAAGGCCTAATGCAGAGCAGAGAGCTCTGCAAATGGCAATGCTTGGAACAGCAATGCAGAAATAATTAGTGCCTTGTTTAAGAGCATCTCAGGGGCTTAACTGCTCTACCTCATTTCTTCTTGTGTGGCCGATTGAAAAAAAAAAAAATTCCTTCAGTGCGAGTCTCTGAATGTTCAGAGGAGCAAGTATTAGTTACCAAATCTCCCAAAGTGACGGATTCCCTTCTCACCTGCTTTGCATGTCCAAGGCAGCCCTGCCAGCAGCACAGCAAAGACTGCTTTGTCCCCAGGATGCTGTTATTTTTGTTTTTAAAAATAGAGATGGGGTCTCACTATAGCCCAGGCTGTTCTTGAAATCCTGGCCTCAAGCAGTCCTCCTGCCTTGGCCTCCCTAAGCATGGGGATTACAGGTGTGAGCCGCCACGCCGGGCCCACCGGGGTTGCTGTTTTTAAGAGAAAACCCTTGCACTTTGGCCAGGACTCCTGAAGGAGACTGGAGATAGCAGCTTAGTCCATGAGGGGTTAACCTGCTGACCTGGCCAGAAGGCACCTGGGGGAGAGCCCTCTTCCAACCAAAGAAAGGGACAAAGAACTAACTCAGGGCCATGGTGTTTTGGTGGACACAGAAACCTCCCTTTCCTCTTTCCTTCCACAGCACATGCAGCACAGAGACAGGGCTGGAAGGCTCAGCAAGAGTCAGAGCTACAGCTCGGAAGTACTGGAAAGCGGCAGCGGATTCTCGGGGTGATGGGAAAAGCAAAATCTACTTCACTAAAACTCCCTCAGTGATCAACTTTTTCAGCAGTCCTCCAGTTCCCGACTAGAAGGCAAAGGCCTGGCCCAGGCCACGGGAGGCACTTCACTAAAGAAGAAAAACCTGAGCTCCAGCAAGCTCAGTAACTTCATCAGTCACCTAATTGAACGAGAACCCAGAGCAACTCAGTCCAGGCTGCACAAATTGAGTAGCACTGCTCTGCAGCTCGCCGCACTAAAAGTGAAAGATATTTTCCATTACAGCAAGTGCTCCCACAGAAGGATCACGAGCCGCACATGGAGCCTTACTCTCCAAATAGGCGCCCATGGCCCAGTCGTCCCTCAGCCTGAGAACTCAGAGAGCCAGGCTGTAATAATGGCGCTGCCATGTGAGCACAGCAGCCATCGAGCTGCTCCGGTTCATTTCCCAGAGGTTGAGCTGCAATGTGTCCAGTATTTAAAAGTATGGAACTTGTTTCAGGGCTGACCCATTCTTGCCCAATTCATCTTCCCCGTGTGAAGTTATTTAGCAAACAGCCAAGTTCAGCTGGAAATCGTTTTTCATCCCCTCCAACTTCTAGTCACATGGGCAGCTGGCCAGCTACATGTTAACAAGCGCCTCAGAACTCCAAAGACACCACCAGCCTCTGTTCCCTTCAGTGCATTCTTGTAAATAAATAAATAAATAAATAATAAAACCTGCCTTTACCACCCCCTCCAAGGGTGGATCTTGTAAAAAGCATGACCCAGTTTTGCAGTCTACAGAGGCAGCTTGGGGAGCAGCTGTAAATCTTTGTCAGGCAGGTGTTACCTCTATGCATCCCAGCTTTCAGAAACAGAGCTGCTGCTATTCATCATGCTGCGGAAGGCACAGACACCCCCTTCTAGTTTTCATCCTAGGTGCAAGTCAGGGCCCCAACATGGGCACTGTTGGTATGCAGACCTTCTTCAGCCACTGGAGGAGGGAGGTGGGCTCCATGAACCTGAACCTCCTGGACACAGGCCACACTCTCTGCACCGATTGTGGGCACCAGGTGGAACGTGTGAGTAGCATGCCTCCCACTGGTCCCGGGCACCCACAACCAATGTGGCTGGCCAACATCCACAACAGAGAGGGGGCAGACCTAAGTCACAAGTTATTCACTTCACTCCCACCCCCACCAGGCAGAATGCTTTAAGGGAATATTAGGAATAAAAATGCTTTCTTCCTGGTAGAGGGGTGAGGATGGAGGAAATAAATCGTATTTATTGAAGAACTACAACATACCAGGAACTATACTCCATCTATGCTGCACATATACAATATAAACACAGGTGCATATTTTTCATCTATAAAAGGCTTAGAATAGTGCCTAGTACATACCAAGTGCTATACAGTGTTAACTACAGTCTATGATGCTATTATCTCAAATTCTCACCATAGGGTAGGCATTATTACTGATAGAACACATAGCTAGAAGACATGTGAAACCAGAATTCATTTTTTCCAGGGTACTGCTGTTAGGCAAATTAAAAAAAAAAGTATGGAATAGTCAAACGGATTTATGGAAATGTAAAAACAATGTGTGGAAAGATTTAAATCACTACAAAAGTTCCTAAATAATCAGTCATAGGAAAGGGACTGTAACCTGAAGTGTAAATCAAATCTAGTAACCTGTGAGTTACCAATGTGCTCTTCAACAGATACCTCAAATGTACATGTTAATAAAAAAGTATAAGATAGGCACTGTGACTCACACCTGTAATCCCAGCAATTTGGGAGGTTGAGGCAGGAGGATTGCTTGAGCCCAGGAGTTTGAGACCAGCCTGGGCAACATAGGGAAACTCCATCTCTACAAAAAAAATACAAAAATTAGCTGGTCGTGGTGGCACACACCTGTAGTCCCAGCTACTTGGGAGGCTGAGGTGGGAGGATTACTGGAGCCCAGGGAGGCTGGGGCTGCAGTGAGCCCTGATGGCGCCCCTGCACTCCAGCCTAGGTGACAGACTGAGACCTTGTCTAAAAAAGAAAAAAAGGAAAAAGAAAAATATATTTTTCATTTACTGTGAACAAGATATATTAAACTATGTATATCCTATCGTGCCAATTTTGAAAAGAGACAGAGGTGATGTATTTTAAAAGACTAGAAAGAATAACACCAAGATATTCACATTAAGAAGGTCATATTGTGTATGAGCTTTATATTCCTCACACGGTAAGAATCTAAGAAAAGAAACATCATCCACACACAGTCACACATACCCTGTTCAATGTGAAATTGATTCTTTCTCCTCCCTGCTCTTTCTCCTGTATCCCTATGCTGCTCAGCAGCTCCACCACCCACCCACCGTTCGCAGCAGAAGCCTCGGAGCCATCTTGGACTGTTTCTCCCCCAACTCCCATCGGTGAGCGTGTTCAAACCTCAAGCTGCCTTCCAGACACACCATCTCCTGCACCAGCCCTCTGCCTGGCCTACCACCTCCCTTGGTACCCAGAGGCTGGCCAGCCCAACCCACCACCAAGGCAAAGGCTGGGTTCACCTTTGGTATGCAGGAAGTCAAGGGCAGCAGCAACGTCCCGCACCACTCGGCTGGCTTCTCGCTCATTGAAGTGCTTTTGCTTCTGGATGTGGGCTAAGATGGAACCTGGGGAGCAGAGGGGACACAGAAGAATGCCTTTTTGGGCTCTAGTAAGTATAACTTCTATTTTTTTTTTTTGAGACGAAGTCTCGCTCTGTCACCCAGGCTGGAGTGCAGTGGTGCAATCTCAGCTCACTCTCGAACTCCTGACCAAGTGATCCGCCCGCCTCAGCCTCCCAAACTGCTGGGATTACAGGCGTGAGCCACCGCGCCTGGCCGTATAACTTCTTAGAGGCCAAGTTTTCCCAAGTTTGGAAAACTTGGGGTGGGGACATGGGGATTCATCGCTTATTCATCACTACTTGTCCAGCTCCAAGTGTGGGGCCTGGCACAGAGGAGGTACCAGCTTGTATGTCTGTTAAACAAAACTGCACTGCTCTCTTCTGTACCTGTCTATGAGGAGCTCAGAAGCGAGAGAGAACAATTATAAATAGAGCCAAAAAATATTCATGATGCTGGGGCTGATTTGGCTTCTGCAATCAAAAGGAATAAAACTGAAGGCACTTGGAGCTGAGGTGGACTCTCTGTAGCAGCATTTTCTCCCCTGCACCTGATCTCTGATGCAAACAAGAGCACAAAATTTCAAATGGAAACGCCACACCCTTGCCAGACATGTAAAGGCCTGGGAAAAGGGGGGAAAATGGGTTTTCCTCCTGAGTGTTCCCATTGATTATTGTTTTGTTGGCAATGGCTAACATTTACTGAGTAGTTACTAGTACCATGTGCTATGGAATACTCTTGAAATAAACTGTCTTATTCTCACCACAATTGGACAAAATGGGTAGTGTACTTATCCTCGTTTTACAGAGGGGGATCCTGAAGCCAAAAAGAAAAACGGTCGAGGAATGTGCCCAAGATTACGCACCAGTAAGGGGTGACGCTAGGACTTAGGCCCAGGGCAGTTAGGCTTCAGAGTCTATGCAGACATCCCCCAGCAGGACTTGTGGTCTGACTGCTGCAGGGATGGACTCTCTTGAGCCAACCACACTGGGTCTGGCCTCAGTAAGCTACATTAAGTTTACTGATATGGCGACGGAGGATCCCATCTGCATGCAGCATTTCAAACATGTACTTAACAGTCAGTCATGTGTTGTTGGGTGCTGCAGGGGCAGACACAGGCAGGAACATGCGGCTTGGCTTCATGTGGTCTACGTTTACTACTAGAAGCCAGTATTTCTGGGCTGCAGGTATTATCTCTGTGTCCTAAAAATGGCATGTGTCTACTGTTTTTTTTGGGGGGATGGGGAGAGCATGAGAGAAGGGGAAGAACTGCCAAAGACTGTTCATTTGCCAGATTAAACAACGGATCCCAGTGTGCTAGGGAACATTCCCAGAAAACCGGCTCCTGACTAGGTCCTAGCTTGCTCTGCTATAGTGAGCCTCGTTTTCAAATTTGGTAAAAGGAAAAGCAGAGAGTAATGCTCTACATTCTTTTTCTTTTTTTTGAGACGGAGTCTCGCGCTGTTGCCCAGGTTGGAGTGCAGTGGTGTGATCTCGGCTCACTGCAACCTCTGCCTCCCAGGTTCAAGCGATTCTCCTGCCTCAGCCTCCTGAGTAGCTGGGATTATAGGCATGTGCCAGCACGCCCAGCTAATTTTTGTATTTTTAGTAGAGACGGGTTTCACCATGTTGGCCAGGCTGGTCTTGAACTCCTGACCTCAAGTGATCTGCCCGCCTTGGCATCCCAAGGTGCTGGGATTATAGGTGTGAGCCACACCGTACCTGGTCTACTCTACATAATTCTAAGACAGCCTCCAGCATACCAAATTGTTTTAATAATATTAGCAGCCAACATTTATTGGGCCCTCGGTGCCTACCAGACACTGTGCTAAGCATTTCACATGAATTATCTCATTTAATATTCATAGCAACCCAGTGAGGTAGGTGCTATCAATATCTCTATTTTATAGAAGGGGATATTGTTTGGAAAAGGTTAAGTGACTGGCCCAGGATCACATATGGCTGGTAAGTGATGGAGCAAGACTTAAGCCATAGCTGTGTTGGTTTCTAAAGCATGCTCCCTCAGCCACCAAGCCCCTCCATGTGGCCCTCCATGCAGCTCCAGACATCCTTGCAAGTGTGCCCTAAGATTGGGGGAGTGCTGGGAAGGGAAAGGGCTTCTCTGCCCCACCTCATTATGTCAGAAAAGCAACTTAAGTATACACCCCAGTGATTGTGTGTGATGGCATCTTTCTATCTGAAGGATGGCACATTCTCAGGCTTCCCTTCTATCCTGGGTCTGTGTCCCAAACAATAGGACCCTCCTCTCCTCTGTTTTAGCCTTTCTAGACTTCACAATGTATTTGAGAGCTTCTACCCCATAATTAATGTAGTTAAATAGTGAACATGTCAAAATGGGATTGATAAATCGATGACTAAGTGTATCTATATATGACTCCTATTATAATGAAAAGGCATTTATAAAATACCCACACAGGTGACATTCTAAGCTCTGCAAAATGCTAATTATCATCCTTCCCTCCGGCCTCCCTTCTCCCAAATCAAGGGCAGTTTTTAAGTCCTTCATCCTTTTTATTAGCTTGACTCGTTTTGGAAGTCTCTGGGATTCATGATGGATGATCACCACCCTGGGTCTTAATCAGAAGTCCACACACATACTCAACGGTAAGTACCTCCTTGCAATTTCTCAAAGACCAAGTAAAACCTTGTGTCATCTTCAAAGAACTCAATCAGCTCCAAAATGTTCCTTAAATAGGGAAAATAGGAGGAGAGGGAAAAGGGGGGAAATGGTATTATATATTAAAGTCTACTTACAAATATCCAATGAAAAAAATATACAACACCTGGCAGTGGGGCAGAAATCAGCTTGAAATCAGAATGCTTATTAAAGACCCGCGTGTGGAAGCAGCCAATGGTGTTAGCAAGATTCAGGTCACCTTATCTTTCCATAATGTTTAGTCTCTGGTGTTTTCACCAAGTCTGTGCTGTCAAACCCCAGCCCTAAAACCCACTAGGTAGAGTTATAAAAAAGTCCCGGTCACATTAAACTGAATAAAATCTGCAGCCGACTGGAAGCAATTGCGGCTAATAACACTGAATAGTAGGTGTGTGTCCTGGAGGCAAGCAGCAAATAATTACTTGCCCTCCCTCTTGCCCATAAATCACAGGGCAGTATTTACATTGCCTGGAGAAAATGGAAACATCTGTCAAATAGACTTGGGGCCTAACGTGGGCACCGCTAGACCCTAACTGCTAAGCGCTGCTTAATGAAACGGCCGCGTTCCCGGCCACCGTAGCACTTGTGGCCTTCCCCGGTGAGCACTCTCTGTCTGCCCGAGTATTTCAGTGCTCCGCCAACAAGGTCGTCTTATACTCAATAGGGAAGCCACCAGCCTGGATATTGGAGGTGTTGGGGGCTTTTTTTCTTTTAAAGAATAAAATAAACCAAGTAGAGTCTCTAATGCTGAACTAAGAAGCTGCAGGGCTGAAAATAAAAATCTGTCTCTCATAAAAAAAATGCCGACTACTTTGGGAGATACCAGGCTTTTACTAGTGTGAAGGCGTCCAAATAAGATGGACAAAATGGCCTCATTTGAAAGAAGATTGTGAAGGCAGTGCCTGGAGTTAAATCAACAGCAGCCCCCATCCTCCAAGCTTAATGGCAAAGCCATCAATACCAGGCCACTGGCTCCCTGCTGACCCTGCCATGGAGGGAGAGAGGGGGAAGTGGAGTCTTAGAGGTGACCCTGATTTAAAGCCACGCTGGGAGAGCTGCTCATTTGGAGCTGGTGGTGGGCAGAATGAACTGAGGCTAGAGATGACCTGGACCCAGCTATCTAGAAGGAGTGCTAGACAAGGTTCCAGAATCTTAGTGGTATCTGCACATACGTAAATATTCTGGGAGTAGAAACTGCAGCAAATATTCTTAACAGTTCTCCTCATCTTGGTATTAAGGGCAAGTCCTTAAAGATTTCTACCAGGCAACACTCAGTCAACCTGGTTTCCACAGGTACCAAAAGAAATAAAACCCCATTTTCCCCCAACAACCACTGATTCAGATGGTTCGTTCTTCTAACTTGCCCGAACTGCTGATATGTACAGTATTTCAGAAGACACAATAACTCCTTAGATGTTACTGCTGCTTTTCCTTTCTCTCCCTAATACTGAAAGGTGGAAGGAGGTACCTGCCTTGTGGGGACAAGAGTGAGAGCTAAATGCTGGGGCCAGGAGATAGTAAGAAATAGCCTCCTCTTCTGTGGCCAAGCGTCCCCCCAGCGAAGCAGCGACAATCACACGATACTCACTTGTTTCCCTGACACTGATACAGCGTCTCCACCTCTCGAAACACCCTACTCCGACTGTGCCCTGCTTGTTTTTCGATGATCTGTGGGAAGAATAAAATCTGTCATGTACACCCGCCTGACTTCAAAACAGCCCCCTGGCAGGAGCCCTCTGGGAGAATGCAAGGCCATCCTCAGGCCACATCCAGTGTCCAGCAGAAGTCTGGCCTAGGCCTTGGTGACACCAGCACTGTGGCTCTGTTGGCAAAGCACCAGACTGGCCTCAGGGCTTTCCAGCCCAGCTGAGCCTGTTCCACTCTGGCCAAGCACACCACCAAGGAAGTGAATGAGGCTGCTGCCCCCAGCTGCCCAGGGGAGACTGAGGCAGCCGGCTAGACAAAGAGCTACCTTACTCAGCTCCTCCTCCTGTGGGCATCTCTTATCCGCCTTAAGGGTAAGCATTTACTGTGTCTACTGAAGGATCTTCTCATGCTGGAGGGAGAAAGGTTGATGGAGGACACGGTGGGGAGGAGCTAAAGCTTTGACACCCAGCTCAGAAGCTGCCTCCATGATCCCCCTGGCAGAAGTAGGCTCTTCCTCTTCTGAGAACTTACTCTTTGGCAGACACTGTGTTAAATGATTTATTTATGGCCGGGTGAAGAGGCTCATGCCTGTAATCCCAGCACTTTGGGAGGCCGAGGTGGGTGGATCACCTGAGGTCAGGAGTTCTAGACCAGCCTGGCCAACACGGTGAAACCCCATCTCTACTAAAAATACAAAAAAATTAGCCGGACATGGTGGTGGGTGCTTGTAATCCCAGTTACTCAGGAGGCTGAGGCAGGAGAATCACTTGAACTAGGGAGGTGGAAGTTGCAGTGAGCCGAGATTGTGCCATTGCACTCCAGCCTGAGTAACAGAGTGAGACTCCATCTCAAAATAAATAAATAAATAAAAAACAATAATAATAATTCATTTACACAATCTCAGTTGACCATTATGACAACATCGAAAGATAGGGAGGTATGAAACATTTGCCCTCAGTCCAGAGCTGACTCCGAAGCCCTTGCTATCTCACACCTGCTCAGATGCTCTAACTTCTTCGAGGACCTGGAGGCTTTGTCTCTCCTGTGACACCGTGGGCTGCTCCCCCTCTACACCTTTACCTGAGATGCTTGGCAAATGCTGACTGAAGGAACAGATAAGCCAACAGATGGGAGGGTGGTTTCCGGAGGGACTGGCTGCCTCTGCAAAGCTCTCTGGACCTATCTGGAGCCTCAAACCACTGCACACCGAGCCTGTGGGCAAATCTGCAGAGCCTAGCCCCGCCTTACAGCTCCAACGTGCACAGTGGGCAGCACAATGACATCCTCTTCCTTGAGACTTCAGACTTCTCCAATACGATGCGGCACAGACATCCATGATCAACTGTACTTTTCTAAAAAAGTCTTTGACTGTAAACCACAGTGGGCCCATTTTCTGAGTAGAGAGGTGTAGTGCTGGGGAACAGAAGTGATTCAACTTCATTCCCCAAGCATTTCAGATCAAAGTCATGAAGAACTTTCTAGCAGGCAAGTTTTCCACAGCACAGTCTTCTCTGAGGAGGTAACAGGCTCTTGCTATTAGAGATGGGGGAGTGGAACATGGACAACTATCTGGGCAGTCATAGAGGAAATTCAGTGTCAGGTTATCTTGAAATTCCATTCCAACCTTGAGACTCTAGGATCAGTTGGGTGTCTATAGGAAAAGCTGTAATAAGCTAAATATTGTAGAGCCATGTTGGGAGAAGTAGCCCATCTCTAGGGAGCTTTGAAAGAGTAGGGTAGAGAAGAAACATGGGCAGAACTGCTGAAACCAAGGAATTACCAAGCCAGAGTCCAGTGTTTGCCCCAAAGATGCCAGGGGGGATGTGGAGGAAGGGCCAGGTTTTTCTCCTATTATCCAACCTTAAAGAAATAAACCTCTCATCCATAAATGTATTTAAACCTTTGAAAATCAGTTTATGTTTGTGGTTTTTACCACATTTAGACAGATATATCAATTTTTTTTTTTTGAGACAGAGTCTCCCTCTGTTGTCCAGGGTGGAGTGCAGTGGCGCAATCCTGGCTCACCTTTGCCTCCTGGGCTCAAGTGATCCTCCCACTTCAGCCTCCCAGGTAGCTGGAATTAGAAGCACATGCCCCCACACTCAGCTTATATATATATATATATATATATTTTTTTTTTTTTTTTTTTTTTTTTGAGACAGAGTCTTGCTCTGTCGCCCAGGCTGGAATGCAGTGGTGTGATCTTGGCTCACTGTGCAACCTCTACCTCCTGGGTTCATGGGATTCTCCTGCCTCAGCCTCCCAAGTAGCTGAGATTACAGGCGTGCACCATGCCCAGCTAATGTTTTGTATTTTTAGTAGAGATGGGTTTCACCATGTTGGCCAGGCTGGTCTTGAACTCCTGACCTCAGGTGATCAGCCTGCCTCAGCCTCCCAAAGTGCTGGGATTACAGGTGTGAGCCACCACGCCTGTCCTAATTTTTCTATTTACACGTAGGCATATGTTTTAAAAATCACTTGTAATTTATACTGATCTGTTTCCCAAAAAAAATTGAGATTGTGCCCTTGTTACCATGTGAAGCAATACTCCAGCTGAAAGGAACGTGGCTTAGCAGACTTGCTCACCCTTCTAACCCGCAGCTGGGACTGTGGAAAGTTGGTTCAAAGGAGAGAAAACATTTCCTTCAGGATCCCATTGGGCTGGGATTGCCAGTGTGAGGTGGCACTTGACCTGGTGGCTCAGGTGGGTGATTTGAAATCAGCTTGGATTTAAAAAGACCCTTTCTCTAGGTGAGTAGTCCTCAAACTTCGGTGGCTATGAGACTCACATGGGGAAGCTGGTCAAGCCACAGAGATCCAGGCCCTATCCTACATCTGGAAACCTGGATCTCTGTGTGCTTTGTTAGAACTCTAAGGGCTTCTAATACACAGTAGCGTTCACAGCTGCCCTTCCTACATCAGTAGTCCTCAAGGGTTAGTGAGTGTCAGAGTCACTAGGGGAGTTTGTTAACATGTGTATTGCTGGGCCCACCCCTGTTTCTGAGCTGGTACTTCTCAGGTAGAGCCAGGTAGCTTCTATTTCTAACAAGTTCCCAAGTGATGCTGAGGCTGGTCCAGGGCACACATTTTGAGAACCACTGCTCAAGATTCAGCTGTTCTTCCATGTGGGGAGGGCAAGTGGAGGCACAGAGGGGTGACACGAGCCACTCCAAGACCTCGCAGCTAATTAAAGGCAGCAATGAGGCCAGAAGCCACTTCTCCTGCCCTAAAACTGAGCGCTCAGTCACTTTAGTTTTTCTTTTCATTATTTTTTCTGAGATAACATTCAGATGTTACCAAATCAGTCACCTTAGTTTTTAATTCTCACTATCATGCTAACATCTAATACTTGTATAGCATTTTGTGACGTGTAAAGTGTTTCCACCTCTCCCAGGATATTTTAATTTTCATCTTCATAACTGCCTCAGGAGACAGAAGGGAAGGTATCATCATTTAGAGATGTAAGAACTGAGGCTTACAGACATTTGATGACTTACCCAAAGTCAAACAGTTACAGTTTGTCAAAACAGAAATTCAGGTAGGCCTTCTAATTCCAAATCTAGTTATCCACTCCCTGAAGTTGACTTCATTTGTCAGAATAATGAGAAACTTACTATGAGCCAAGCACTGTGCTAAGCACTTTACCTGTATTAACTTATTTAATCCTCACAACAATTCTACACAGGTTCTAGTGTTATACCCATTTTACAGATGAGAAAACTGAAGGACACAGAGGTTAAGTAACTTGCCCAAGGTAACACAGTAAGTAAGTAGAGAAACCAAGATTTGAATCCAGTGAATACAGCTTCAGAGCCCCCATTCTTATGGAAAATAACATTTATTTGGTTCAGGATGAGCTAGAAATGACTATTTGCAAAGTAAAGCCTGGCATTTAGCTGAGACACTCACTTTGACGGCATACTCTTTGCCATTCTGTAGGCTCACGGCACCTTGAACTTTGGCATAGGCTCCCTCTCCAAGCAATTCAGAGGTCAGCTTGTACATATCTAGAGGTGAAATGGATGAGAGGAATAACAAGATGAGTCACCCTACTGCAAGCTCAGATGGGAAGAACTTCTGTGGCTCAGCTTCCCTGATCAGACGACACAGGCACCTGATGACTCTAGCACTCAGTGACAAGGAAGACAAGTAGCTTTCCCAACCACCTCAGGACCCATTTTCTCAACAACAAGACCATGTACAAGGCATCCTGTTCCTCATTTTAGAAATGAGGTCAGCAAAAGGGTCTCAATTCAGCACACATTTCCTGAACATCTACTATGTGCCAGACAGCATAACAGAGTAAGGAATAAAATAAAGGCCAGGTGCAGGGGCTTACACCCGTAATCTTAGCATTTTGGGAGGAGCATTTGGGAGCAAGGCGGGAGGATTGCTTGAGGCCAGGAGGTCAGAATCAATCTGGCCAAACACAGCAAGACCCCATCTCTAAAATATATATATTTATGATCCCTCTCCTCTAAGGGTTGCAGTCCAGTGGGGAAGACAGACACATACACAGGTGACCCCAGAATAAACCAGGCATTGGTAAACACTATCACAGAGGGACAAGGTACAGTAAAAAAAAAAAAAAAAAAAAAAAAAAAAAAGTTGAGGGAGGAAAGGGTTAAATACGTTCAGAGAGGCTGGGCATGGTGGCTCACGCCTGTAATCCCAGCACTTTGGGAGGCCAAGGTGGGCGGATCAAGAGGTGACGAGATCGATACCATCCAGGCCAACGTGGTGAAACCCTGTCTCTACTAAAAATACAAAAATTAGCTGGGTGTAGTGGCACATGCCTAAAGTCCCAGCTACTTAGGGGGGCTGAGGCAGGAGAATCGCTTGAAGCTGAGAGGTGGAGGTTGTAGTGAGCCAAGTTAGCGCCACTGCACTCCAGCCTGGCGACAGAGCGAGACTCCATCTCAAAAAAAAAAAAAAAAAAAAATTTGTTCAGAGAATCTGGAGGATCCTCAGAGAAGGGGTATGATTTGAATGAATATTCATGTACTCATTTACTGACCACCTATTATGTGCCAAGCTCTGTGTAAGCACTGGCTATACAAAGGAGAATAAAACACTGTTCTATTTTATACCCCATACAATGGAAGTCACTGGAGGCTTCTGAGAAGTCTCCAGAAGTCACCCACAGGAAACAGACAGAAGTAGGATGCAAAGGATGCCTTGAGGTTTTTAGGGTACTGAGTCATAGCTGTTCTAATAAAGTAATAGATCTGGGTTAAAGGAACATCTACATGACCTGCCCAAGCTTACAAAGGGCACAGCTCTTTGAGCCGCTTCCAAAGGACGCCACATCTCCATCATAGCACTAGCTGCCTGACCTCACCCCACTCAGCCTCCACTCTTCAGCCTTTTCCTCTTGAGGCACCTAGCATTGAAACCACAGCCAGAGCTGAAGACATTTCACCCAGGAATTAGATTTTATCACTTTCAGTCAGGAGAAGTCCTGTCATTGCACAAACTGTCCTTAAAAAACAGGAAGTACTCTCTCGTGTTAACTGAAAGAGCAAAAGAGCTGTTGATTAGGAAACTATTTGAAAACCCTTGGGATCTTTGTCTCTCCCCGATCCCCATCCCCTGACACATACATACACACACACACACACACACACACACACCCCTGCTGTTTGAGTTAAAGGCAAACAAAAAAACCCTGCTGAAAGTACCTTCTTGGTTCCATCATAGTTTGGTCTTTCAGTTGTTTATAAGAGCAGATGGCACACTGTTATTTGTAAGTGTTTTAAATGACGTGCTTCTCACAATGGACACGTTGGCATTAGCCCTTTACACATATCAGGATAGGTGGGTGACTGGAGGTCCCATATTCCCAACCCATAAAGTGCTTGTTATTGGAACTATTCTACAGAACAGCCAATTCACTAGTGTGTCTGGAAGGCTGGAAGGAGGGACCATGAGGGGAAGCTACTTCAGACCTCACAATGAAAGAAAACAAAACAGATGAAGTGGGGCATGTTACTCCTAGGAGTAGCTACTGATGCTTTTGGTGCTTTGCACAAGTATCCAATCACCCCATCACATGGCCATTGATAACAGGACCCACACTGAGCCTAGTGCCTTGCACACAGAGAGTGTCAAAAAATGTCTGATGACCCAGTATCGTGTCTACGGAACACAACATGTACTCTATAAAATGTAGTCAAACACATACAGCATAAGTAGCTACAATCTGAGAGACAAACTCTCTGCTTATAGGAGACTCAAGTTTCATTTGCGGCCATGGCCTTTGGTATTTCTCTCTTCCTCTTACATGGTTCTATCTCTCAGCAGCCCCTCCAGGAATAGCTGAGGGAAGAATCACACCTGAAAAAAGGGTGGAAGACCCCAGGCAATGTCACTGATAGATAGGTCTTCCTGTTCCCTGAAAAGGAAGCAGTACCTGAGCCATTCACAGGAGGCCAGTGCATCATCTGAGAGCTTTTTCCATCCCCGCTCTCTTTCTGTAATGCCCTGTGTAAACTCCCTCATCCCCATCTTATCTCCCTACCACACAGATAACCACCAGCCGGCTATAACTTGACACATTCTGTAATCTGGATCTGTGGCTCCCGGAATGCTCCTCCCATACTTGGGGAGCTGCAGGCCCAGATATAGGGGAGTTGTGTGACCAACCTTCAAACTTTCCTGGCAAGGAGTCAGTGGCCCGGGCCCTCCGCTTCTTCTTCCTCCTCCTGTCACCATCTGCGATGGGAAGGGGTTCGCTGCTGCCCATCTCTGGGAGATATGAGAAGAAGGAAGGGAAACATCACTGTACTGATCAAGCTGTAAATTCACCCAGAAGGAAAAAAAAAAAGGTAGTGGGGGGAGGACCCAGGAGGCTTACACTGATGGTTTTTAAATATCTGTGAAGACTATTGATTTGTTTTGACCTAGGAGGAAAAACTAAAGGCAAAGCCATTATGGGAGATCATTAACGGTGGAAAAGAGCTCAGACAGGCAGGCTAGATTAAAAGAAGCCAGCGGAAGCCTGCTTTAACCAAGCTCATTAGCGCATGGATTTAGATCTGCCACCGGTCAAACCATATTCTCCAAACAGAACAATGACTCCATAGGCAGAACATGACCTGTGACATCCTCCAGCCTCAGCATCAGAAAGGCAAAACCGAGGGAGCTAGGCAAGAAGGGGGTTGGGAGCAGGGGTCCATGCAGATGAGCCACAGACTCAGCAACATCGCTATGGATGCGCACAGGGCACAAATGGCCTGGAGTGGAGACAGCCTCTGTGAAGGTAGCAATAGGGCTGGGGTTCAAAATGGCCCCAAATTACTTCATGTCCAAGAGCACGGACTTGAGTGCCTATGGAGCCTATGGCATCCTCTCCTCCCACAGCTCCTCCACCAGAAGGGCTGCAGGTCAGGCCTATTCAGAAGTCGGCAGTTGACAGGTCTGTGCCAGGCTGCTGGATGAGGTCACTTATTGCAAAAAACCTTATTATCTCTCATTGGCAAGCACCTGGCTCCCCATCTTAAAGGGAGGATTTGTCAGGCAGGCATTCAGACACTGCGCAGATTGGGCAGAAACAGGTCAGATGGAAAGAAGAAGCAGGACACTGAGATGGGAAAGAGAAAAGGAGGAACACTGAACCAGTACCCAATCACAGTCCTGCTTCTAAGACACTCTAGTATGGTCCTTTCCCTGTTAAAGATAAATTACTTATAGAACATGTCATGCCCCTGATCCAGAGTGGAGCCTTAATACTCTTTGCCTGCAGTTAGAAATAATAAGATTTCTCTGAAGTCTCTGGGTCTAAATCCCCACCAGGGTGATTAAACCTTTACATCCTTCTAAAATAGAGGCACTCGAGTGCTGATGGGGTATACGACGTGAGAGACTTTTAGACCAACCTTCAATAAACAACAGGCTCTCGGTTGTTGGTGTTGGTTTTTTTTTTTTTTCCCTTCTTTTTTTTTTTCTGAGAGCTTTTAAAATGGAAGCTGGCTCTTTGCCCATTGAGGGGAAAGGCCCACTCTCTTCTCAGAGGATCCGGCGGCATATGACCAGAGAAAGAGCAAGTGTGCTAGGAAGACTGGTTAGTGCCCAGCCAGGTCCATACACTGTTCTCAGAGGCAAGTACATGCCAGCCATCAGGAGAAAGCACACAGGACGGCACTTTCAACACCACAATCCAGATAGCACGGTTACGCAGCCAAGTGTCTGATAGCTCAATTTAGGCGCATTCTTCCATCCATTTTGGGGATCTGATGACAGCACATTTTTAATTATAGTTTAGAATGGGGAACAGATAAACACATGGATAAAAGAAATCCACAGAGGATCTCAAAATATAACCGTAGCCAAGAGCTTCAAACACAAGATATATCTGGGGATGGCAACACCCTATGAATTCAAAGAATTAAACATCTGGCTGGGCACCGTGGCTCACGCCTGTAATCCCAGCACTTTGGGAGGCCAATGCGGGCAGATCACTTGAGGTCAGAACTTCGAAACCATCCTGGCCAACATGGTGAAACCCTGTCTCTACTAAAAATACAAAAATTAGCCAGGCGTGGTGGCGGGTGCCTGTACAGTGCCAGCTACTTGGGAGGCTGAGGCAGGAGAATCACTTGAACCTGGGACACGGAGGTTGCAGTGAGCCAAGATCACGCCATTGCACCCCAGCCTGGGTGACAGAGCGAGATTCTGTCTCAAAAAAAAAAAAAAAAAAAAAAATCAGCACCTCACCACCCACCCTCACCAAGGTAAATTAAAAGGAAAAAAGCTGCCCAAATGTATGACACAGTGGGAAATTCAGCAGAAATAAAACGCAGGGTCACTTATCTTCAGGAGCTCAGGGAGGGGGTGCTGGCCATTGGGGCAGCAGGCTGAGAAGGAGGAACCACCGTCTCTCTCTCTTGCCCTGACCTTGAGTGCAGTCCAGAGGCAACCCGTGTCCGCATCTATTTTCTCATCAGCACCGCAGGCCCAGTGCAGAGGAAACAGATTTGGGTTTCAGCTCTTTCTCCTTCCCCTGTCTACACTCTGATGGAGGGCCCCAGGACAAGCAAAACAGCCGAAAGGCAGGCAGAGCAGAGGAGCAGCAAGAGGACTGGAGGCATTATAATTCACAGGGGACACTCAGGCACATGACTTTAATGAGAAAACCCTGTTAGCAACAATTTATACTTGGTCTTTACCACAGCAGGGCTGAGGGAGCCTCTTGTGCGAGAAGCATACCTCAGAGCACTGCCACACACGTAATATTAGATTTTATGGCTTCACACACACACAAAGATAGAGTACCTGGTATATTCTGCATGGATTTCAATGAAAGAGGGTACGCCAGAAGGGACAAATGGTTAAGACCTTCCTTGGAAATGGAACTTGGAGAGTTGTTTCTGAAACTAGGAAGGAAAAAATGTAGGAAGATGGGTGAAGTGAAAGAAACATGCTTAGTTTCCCTGGTTACAAAGAGGGAAGAGAGAGGTGTCATAATCTCACCAAAGGGTTGCTAGTTGCCCATGTGGAGCCTGGCCACACACTGTTTTCATCACAGAGTCCACTAGCAGGTTTGTGGGGCCTTAATTCATCAGGCACACACTCACAGGATAAATGCTGCCTCAGGGAGTGGGACCCCCCCACAGTAAAGCTGCACCTCGGCTCACCTGCTTCCCTTGGCCTAGGAATTCTTCTTGGTCATCAAAACCCGGCTCAATAGTCCCCACCCTTTTGCAGCTCCCTGATAACCCCAGATAAGTTAAGGTTTCTACAAAGACTTTGGAAGTCTGTTAGGCGCTATGCAAATGGAGGGTGTTACTGAGCAGAACTAGTAGTTGGTGCTCCATCCTCTGCTCCCAAACACCCTGCGAGAAGCTCCATGAGGGCACTGATTTTATTTGGTCTTCAGTGCTCCCCTGTGTTCCTAAAGGCCGAGATTGTCCCCTGTCCACTTGTTTCTCCTACAGATCATGGCACAGTGTCAGACACATAGCAGCCATCAGAAATTGCGCTGAAATGGAAATGATATGAAATGACGTGCATACTGTTAGGTGCGGGGTATGTCACACTGGCCCTTTAGGTACCAAGTGCACATCCTGAAAGAAACATGGGTACAACTTTGCCCTGTAGACAATGCAGAGTAAGGCTACTTAGTTTTATGAATCCAGTTCAGGAATTCTACTAATTCCTGGATAAACCCCCTTTCAAAAAAGGGTCTAGGACACAAAAGGTCCTTCACTTTCTTTTCTTTTCTTTTCTTTGAGATAGAATCTTGCTCTGTCATCCAGGCTGGAGTGCAGTGGCACGATTTTGACTTACTGCAACCTCCACCTCCCAGGTTCAAGCGATTCTCCTGCCTCAGCCTCCCGAGTAGCTGGGACTACAGGCGCGTGCCACCACGCCTGTCTAATTTTTTGCATTTTTTAGTAGAGATGGGGTTTCGCCATGTTGCCCAGGCTGGTCTTGAACTCCTGACCTCAGGTGATCCACCCGCCTTGGCCTCCCAAAGTGCTGGGAATACAGACGTGAGCCACCACACCCGGCCAGGTCCTTCACTTTCTAAACAGAAGCCTGGTTCTTGCTACAGGATTGAGCAATGTGTCCGTTATGATAGAGGAGGAAGTGAGCACTTTTCAGTTTTCAGGCAGATCCCAGCTGGTCTGGAGGCTCCCAGCACTTCCGCTGCCTCCAGCCCTTGCCTTCCTCTTGGGAATGGCTCAGCGGTCCACCACGTGTCTATTAGTGGAGGTGGAAGTGGAACTGAAGCAGCAGCAGGCTGCTTGCTGACAGGGAAGGCGCACAGGCTTGGCATCAGGCGAGCAAGGCAGAAGCCCTGGTTCAGATATTACAACAGAACCAAGGCCAAGTTACTGTGCCTCTTAGAGTCTCAGTTTCCTCATCTATCAAATAGGTTTAAAAACACACCCGCCCTGTCTATCTCACAGGTTGTTGTAAAGACCCAATGATGGCCGGGTGCGGTGGCTCACACCTATAATCCCAGCACTTTGGGAGGCCGAGGCGGGCGGATCACCTGAGGTTGTGGCCAGCCTGACCAACATGGAGAAACCCCGTCTCTACTAAAAGTATAAAATTAGCCAGGTGTGGTGGTGCATGCCTGTAATCCCAGCTACTCGGGAGGCTGAGGCAGGAGAATCACTTGAACCCAGGAGGCGGAGGTTGAGGTGAACCGAGATCGCGCCTTTGCACTCCAGCCTGGGCAACAAGAGCGAAACTCTGTCTCAAACAACAACAACAACAACAACAACAACAACGACGACAAAAATACCCAAAGATATACTTCATATAAATATGTTTCCAAAAACATATGCATATGCACAGGTATGTATGCATATATATGAACCCAATAGAGTAGAAAGACTAGACAGAAATACATAAAACTGCTAATACACATACAATTTTAAAAAGCACCAACTATGTGGATATTTTGTACACATTATCTCTAATTCTTATCATAATCTCAAAAGGTAAATATTTTTGCCATATTTCAGGTAAGGAAAGCTCAGAGCAGGCAGCTGGTAGATTAAATAACCTACCCAATGCCAAACATCTAGTTAGTGGTTTAACTGGGATTCAAACTCAATGCTGCTCTTTCAAGTCCAGGCCATTTCTAATACATAATAGTTTTCTCTATGTGATGGGGTGATTTTAAAATTCTTCTTTATATTTGCAATATTCTCTAACTTGTATACAGTGAAATTTATTTTTTATGCTATTCTTGTTTAACTCACATTTTATTTTTAAATAAAGTATACCATAATCTTTCTCTAACACATATTGGAATTTGGTATCTGATTTTAGTTTTTAAAAATGTGTCTGGATTTCTCTGTATTAAAATTCAACATTCAGTGATGAAAGAAACATTTTAGGAATAATGGTGCCTTGAAGATACTAATTTCACAATCATTCAAAACAACCAATGTTATTTTTTAAAAAATGCTACTTCTTAAAAGTAAATATTTTATAAAAACAAATGAAAAAATGTGCTGAACATTGGAGCCTGAGAGCTACGGCTCTCCTCCACTGCACGAACTGCAGCAAGCTGCTTAGCTTCTCTGAGGATCAGTTTCCTTGTATATGAAATGAGGTAAGCAGAAGGCCTGGGCTGTCCACGTCACAAGGCTGCTGTGAGGATCGAATACGAGACTAGAAGTGAACGCGCCACTGACTTACTCTTCAGTAATACTCTATTTATTGGACACCTACTGATCATCTGCTGCTAGACAATGAGAATACAAGAGAAGACCCAGTCTCTTCCCTGATGGGCGTTTAAATCTGCTGCTGACACTTAAAACTATTTCAACACAGTAGGACAAGTGCTGGGACAGGGAGGCACCAGGTGCTGTGCAGCAGGCGAGAGGAAGCTAACCCAGTTGGGTAACTAGAGGAAGAGACAGCTAAGCCTCAATACCTGAGGGATGAGTGGGCTGGTCAGGCTGGGGCCTGGGAGAGAGTGTCCCAGACCAAGGAAGGGCTGGTCAGGCTGAGGCCCTCCTGGAGGAGGGACAGAGGGTCAGTGGGGGCCACTGGTGATCGCTCTGGCTGGCAGGGGCACAGAGCACATGGGAAGAGGGATGACATTAGCTCACGAGCAGTCTCATCATCATCGATGACAATGTCTCCATTCCTAGGCATATGTTTATCTTGTTTTCTCCATTAAAATAGGAATGCATATTTCATTTCTTTGTAAAACCTATTAGTGAACAAGCACTGATGGAACTGAAAGGATGTTAAGTGTTAAGGATACAGATCCAAGAATCATCCTGGTTCCTGCAGGGGAGAGGTACAGAGAACTGACAGAGCAGATGAGGAGGGGTTGGGGAGGCTTCCTAGAAGGACTACTACAGCACGGACATTCCTGACATGCAAGTACCCATCCACCATTCTGCCCCGGAAGGTGACCTCGAGGCCCACCTTCTGAAAGAACTGTGTGACTTCTCCACAGTCTTACGAGCCACACTGTCCCCAAAGGAACCAGATCTGTACTCCAAATTTTGAAGAGCCTGCAGAGAACTCATCAGCTTTCATATCTGTGCGTGAAACTAGAGACGATCCTCTCCCCACTAAGAACCTGACTTTGCTGGCTAGCTCAGCTCTGCAAACTTAGCTCACACTCCTCTCCCAAGCACTTCAGAATTCTTTTCAAGGTCTCCCCAACCTTTAAGAGCGATTTCCCTCAGCCAAAAGAGCTTTCTTGAGAAGAAATAGTGGTGAGAGCAAGCAGAGGAGTGTAATTACCGACCCTTCTCGGGCATCAGCTAGCTGAGCATTCCACAACAAATGGAGAATGCAGAAAATGATCAGGAACTGAGGGACGCTGAAAGGAAGTGTCATGGGCACTCTAAGGAAGTGGCCAAGACCAAGAAATGTGAGACAGAGGAGGCAATGAGGGGGTGCCTGGGGAGACTGACCCCAGAACACTTACATCTTTAAAGTAGCAGCCGGAGCAGTATTAGAGTTAGAGGCCACATGACTACTCCTAGTAGTGACATTACTCACACACACACACATGCTGCTTATGTAGGCCAGGCAGCATTCTTTTTTTTTAAATTATTATTATACTTTAAGTTCTAGGGTACATGTGCATAACGTGCAGGTTTGTTACATATGTATACTTATGCCATGTTGGTGTGCTGCACCCATCAACTCGTCAGCACCCATCAACTTCACCAATGCTACACTTTACATATACTAACTTATTTAATTATCACAACTTTATGAGCTAAGTATCCAGATTTTACAGATGAAGAAACTGAAGTACAAAGAGATTAAATGATTTGTTCAAGGTTGCATACATCATAAGTGGCAGAGCTGAGATCTAAATCTAGTCTGACTCAGAATTCAAGCTTTTAACCATTACACTGTATTTAAACCTTAATGCTGAAAGGCAGAAGGGGGTAGCTAGTAAAAGTAGCCAGGCACCAATGAGAATGCTTTTATTTATAAACCTTAGCACAGAGCTTCCCTGCTGATGTGCTGTGAATGAGATGTTGATCCCCTCATCAGGCCTCCAGTCACTCGCTGTTACTCAGGTATGCAGAACAGTATCATTTTCAGCATGTGCTATGATGTGAAAAGGTTGGGCAGCACTGCCCTAGCTTCCAGAAATATGAAGGCATTATGACCACATTATTATCATCCTATTCATCGAAAACCTCATTCATCAGAAGTTTCTTCTTCCTGTTCTGAGCTTGCCTTGTATTTTGTGTTTTGTCGTCTTATGAAAGATGGGTTACCAACCAAAGTCCACCCACGTTATTTCATGGCAGTTCTGGTGTCAGGTACAGGCTACGTTCTTCTGCCTGACCCATTAGTGGGAAGATTGCTTTTGTGGCATCATTATTATGCGGGGACAAGGAGAGGGTGCACTCAGACACTAGTCAGATTTAACACACGATGGATGAAAGGAGTCACTTGTAAAGTCAGCTCAATCAAAGGACAGTCTGTTCACAGTGATACTGCAAGGGGCTAAGGTATTCTTCCCCAAGAGTCTGGTGTGAGGGGAGGCTGGGCCGCAGCATGCAGGTGGCAGCGTCTCGCTTCGCTGCAATGAAACTGGCAGGTGAGGCCTGCTAGGGTGCCAGCAAGGAATCCCCCACAGGCCTCAGACAGGACTGGGGGCCTGAGAATCCCAGAGACAAAAGGTCACAACTCTAGTCCATCTTCTGCCTCTGTTCTGATTCTGGGATCACAAGCAGCCTTCAGAGCTGTCACTGCATCTTCTGGTGGAAGGAACGGCAAGAGGAAGGACATGGAAGGGGAGAAGGAAGTGTGTGCTGAAGAAACAGCAAGCAGGAGGAAAGGGCTGGATGCAAGTGGGGAGCAGCGTGTAAAAAGCTGACAAAGGTGGGCTGCGCTCAGGCCCCCAGGCACAAACGCAGCCCACGAGGTTCTCCAACCCCCAGCTCCTGTCTACCTTCCAGCCTCAGCACCCAACACAGCCATTGTTTCACGGAAAAATGAAACTAGCGGCTAGTTCCGCTTGCAATTCAAGGGATCCCACACGTACTTTTCCTGGAGTCAAGTGCTGTACTTTGGTTTGCTGCAGAAGTGCTTTATGAGTATTTCAATTTTGTTACACAGAATATTAAAGAGATCTGTACTCAGGGTTGGAATTCAATAAAACTGATAATTTTTGCTACTTCATCAAGGACACTCTTGCGTGAAAAAGGCATTTTAAAAAAGCCAGGTGCGGTGGCTCATGCCTGTAATCCCAGCACTTTGGGAAGCTGAGGTGGGCAGACCACCTGAGGTCAGGAGTTGGAGACCAGCCTGGCCAACATGGCAAACCTCTGTCTCTATTAAAAAAAACAAAAATTAGCCAGGTGTGGTGGCAGGTGTCTCTAATCTCAGTTACTCAGGAGGCTGAGGCAGGAGAATCACTTGAACCTGGGAGGCGGAGGCTGCAGAGAGCCGAAGTTGTGCTGCTGCCCTCCAGCCTGGGCGACAAAGTGAGACTCTATCTCAAAACAAAAACAAAAACAAAAAACTGGGAGTACAGAGCAGTGGAGAATACAATGGCTACTAGCACAGTTCAGCATCACCACCTGGACCAAGGCACCAATAGTATTACCCATTGTTGCTCTGCAACAACAGAGAACATCTTAGTACTATTACAAAAATCATTTTGACTGCACAGATTCCTGGAAGAGTTTTGGGGACCCCCCCATGGTCTGCAGTGTATGCTGCAAACCACTGGCCTAAGTGATGGGGAGGGACTGGGTGTGACTGGGCCACGGAATTGACTGTGATGTGAAGAACAAACTGGAGGCTAGAGAGTGAGGGCTGAAAGAGGCAGCTGTAACAGCCCTGGGCAGGGCGAGAAAGGCCTACAACGGAGACAGGGAGAGCAAAGAAGAGGAGGTGAGGTGTGTAACAGAGTGAGGGAATGAAACCATTGAGGCAGAATTGGTCCTAGTCCTACCAAATGACTGAAGAAGGTGAAGGGAGCGAAGACCATGGCTCTTCTTGAAGGAAGGGACAGTGTCTAATTCCTCTCCATCCCCACTGCCTAGTATGCAGCTAGGAAGAGGCGGGCCTCATATACTTATGATTACATGTTTATTAACCAAAGTCAGGTCACCATAAGAACAGTAGGACCATGAAAGAGGGGGAGAATTCAGGAAACGGAGCTGGCTGGGGATGGGGAGCAGGGAAAGACAATGGCACCACCGGGGAGCTTCAGATGAAGAGGGGTGACATAGCCACCAGGGACTATGAAAACTCACCGATCAGGCTAAAACCACTCTCACTCAGCCCTCGTCTGACCCAAATCTGCAAGTGAGGCATTATTCACAATCTCCGAGGCATGACAAACCTCCAGTGACAGTGTAACACAGAACACTTCAAAATGTCATCATATATATCATACATAAGTTAAAAAAAAAACCTGAAAAGATACATCTCAAATTATTACTATTTTTTGAGCTACAGTCTTGCTCTGTCACTTCAGGCTGGAGTGCAGTGGCACAATCTTGGCTCACTGCAGCCTCTGCCTCCCGGGTTCAAGCAATCCTCTTGCCTCAGTCTCCCAAGTAGCTGGGACTACAGGCGTGTACCACCATGCTTGGCCAAGTTTTGAATTCTTTATAGAGACAGTCTTGCTATGTTGCGCAGGCTGGCCAAATTATTAGCAATGGTTATTCAGGGAGGGACAGTGTCTAATTCCTCTCTATCCCCACTGCTTAGTATGGAGCCAGGCAGAGAGGAGCTTCATATACTTCTGTTGTGTTTTAGCTTGTTTTGTTATGAAGTAGTTTTAATTCCATAATTAAATAGATCTGTACAGGTGCAGTGACTCACACCTGTAATCCCAGCACTTTGAGAGGCCAAGGCAGGCAGATCACTTGAGGTCAGGAGTTTGAGGCCAGCCTGGCTAACATGGTGAAACCCCATCTCTACTAAAAACAAAAATTAGCTGGGTGTGGTGGTGCACGCCTCTAATCCCAGCTACTCAAGAAGCTGAGGCAGGAGAATCCCTTGAACCCGGGAGGCAGAGGTTGCCATGGGCCGACATTGCACCACTGCACTCCGGCCTGGGTGACAGAGGGAGGCTGTCTCAGGAAAAAAAAAAAAAAAAAGTAAATAAATATGTTTTAGTTACATGTTTTCCTTATGACCCCTGCCATGTCATTCTGTAGAAATGTGTTCCTCCTACTAAGCGTTATCTGAGTTGTACCAGGACAGCTTCGCTAATCCTAGCTAACCAACTAAGTGCTGAAAACCACGATCTGCTAGACAGTCTCTTACCTGCCTCTTCCTCTGGATGTATCAGATCATTTCAATTTGAAGTAATCTAAAAGGATAACTGAAATGTACACTCAATCTTACCTACAGGTTTTTCCAACTTTTCGGAAGATACCGTCTGTAAACTTGAAATCCCAAATGAAATAAAGCTCCTGTCAGGGAGTTGGTGTCTTCCAGCTACACGAAGTGTCTCAATGGCCTTTGTACGTAGCTGGCAATCTTCGGTTCTCCACTGGCCTCTGACGTGGAAACCTTGAAAAAGCAGAAATAGAAAGGAAATCAAAATGCTGACTTCTTTAAAAGGACCAGAAAAGAGAAAGATCAGTCTGAACATGCCCCAAACCTATGAGTTACCCCACTAAGTAGATATACACACGGCAATCACAGATTTCTTGTCTTTAAAATCAGACATTTGAATTAAAGTTTTTATAGAGATAGAGTCTTGTTATGTTGCCCAGGCTGGCCAAATGATCAACAATGATTATTTGGGAAGGGGCAGCGTCTAATTCCTCTCTATCCCTACTACCATTAAGCATTGGAAGATTGAACAAAGGGCTGAGTGAAATTTTTCAGATTCTGTTTCTATTATGGGATTCCAGACCCAAAAAGATGTAACTGGACCTGGGTGATAGAAATAGACACCTCTGCTCTGAGGAGTCTCAGGCAAAAGGCAAAAGTTGACAGGCCGGGCATGGTGGCTCATGCCTGTAATCCCAGCACTTTGGGAGGCTGAGGCAGATGGACTGACTGAGCTCAGAGGTTCGAGACCAGCCTGGGCAACATGGTGAAACCCATCCCTACAAAAATACTAAAATTAGCCAGGCGTGGTGGCACGCACCTGTAGCTACTTGGGAGGCTGAAGCAGGAGGATTGCTTGAGCCCAGGAGGTCGAGGCTACAATAAGCCAAGATCATGCCACTGCACTCCAGCCTGGGTGACAGAGTGAGGCACTCCTCTGCTATCCACATTTTTAGAGAAATGAGCTGGGCTCTCTCTCTTAGTGGCCAAGTCCAAGTCTCACAGGCAAGAGGTAACAGAGCCCAAAAGATAAAGTAGATGCTGAGAGCAGCAGGTGGCACGAATGGGAACAAGGTTTTGTGTTGAATACATAATTATTGCTAGTTTTCAATCTGATGACTTCATTTTCTCTGTGTTCACTGTTATTTTAATATCATGGCTCTAGCTATCACAAGTCAAAGTTGCTTTGTCAACTTCCCTATGAAATAAATATGCATTTCCCCTTTTCTCAGTGGGAAAGCCCTGAAAATGCAACTTAACTCTGAATTCTGAGCCTTTATGCCAAAATTTCTAAAAAGGCTTTCTAACCGGAAGTTGGGTGTGTTTCACCATGACCTCAACCACATGTCCCAAGCAGGACTTGTGTCCAACCCCCACCCACTTCCTCCTTCCTCCGATTTCTCTTCTTCCCTATCAGATCATGTCATCCTGCCAGTTACTCCTTAAAGGCAAGCACATATCTTTTTCATCTTTGCATTACCAGTATCTAACGTAGTATCTGGCAAAAATGGGCTCTAGTGAATCTGAATGAATTACTTCATACACAAAATATCTCTTTACTGTCCAATAAAGATGTTAGCACAGTGGATAGTCCTTCCTACTATGCTCTTCATTCCCAAACAAATCTGAAACCCAATGAAACTATTTCCAGGGCCTAAGGAAACTCAGGGTATGCTCTCTCTCTTCATTTCTACTACCACACTTCCAGGGACAGCCTTGAACACCTTTCAATGACAGGATCTGGCTCTATCAGCCAGGCTGGAGTGCAGTGGCATGATCTTGGCTCACTGCAGCCTCCACCTGCCAGGCTCAAGTGATCCTCCCACCTCAGTCTCCCAAGTAGCTGAGACTATAGGCGCGAGCCACCACGCCTGTCTAATTTTTGTATTTTTTGTAGATACAGGATCTCGCCATGTTGCCCAGGCTGGTCTTGAGGTCCTGAGCTCAAGTGATTTGCCTGTCTCAGCCTCCCAAAGTGCTAGGATTATGGGCATGAGCCACCACACCTGGCCTTGGGCTTTCATTCTGTCTTTAGTCTTGTCATAGGTTTAGATCCCCACCCGGTCCCTTCTTGTTACCTATGGTAGGAGTTGGCAATTTTTTTTCTGCAAAGTGCCAGATGGTAAATATTTTAAGCTTTATGTGTCACGTGGTCTTTGTTATGACTCAATTTTGCATTTGTAGAGAGAAAGCAGCAGACAATATATAAATGAATGATTGTAGCTATATGTCAATAAAACTTTATTTTTGGACACTGAAGTTTAAATTTCATATAATTTTCATGTGTCATAAAATATTGATCTTTTCTTGATTTCTCCCCAACCATGTAAAAATGTAAAAAGTACCCTTAGTTTTCATCCACACAAAAACAGGCGGTGAGTCAAATATGGCCTGTGGGCCATAGTTTGCCAACCCTTGGCCTATAGTAGAAAAAAAAAACCCTTAGAATTCCTTACGGACTTTGTGTATTTCGTCACATGGAGCCACCTTAGGCTGGGGAAGTAGAAAGTGCAGGGCTTTTGGGCATTAGGTGCTAGGTTCCAGTTCTGGCCCTACCATCTACCATCCCGGTAGCCTTGCACATAAAATTCAACCTCTCTGAGCTTTACTACCATCATCTATAAAATGGGGGCAATAACGCCTACAACACAGAGTTGTCATGGCAATTAAGTGAGCTAATATATATAGAGCTCATGGCACCAGTATCTGGCATACAGTAGGCACTCAATAGTAACTCTTATTCCAGCTTCTGACATGGCTTCCCCAGATCAACTGCAGCTCTGGAAAGCAACACAGCCACTCTGTGAACCACAAGTGGCCGCAGGAGGGAATAAATTGACAGCAAATACAAAGGCAGACAGAGAATTTGGAGGTTTTCAGATACATGCCATGAGATTCTAAGTGCCCGGTTAGCCCTAATTCCTTCTGGCACCATTTAAAATTTCTCTAGTCCCTTTTTCCTCCTCAAAAATTACTTCTCACAGTCCTTAAAGATTCTTAGCATTCTTTACCACCTACCCAGATGGACCCTGCAGCCCTCTCCTCACTCCTGTACCTTCTGCTGGTATAGGGCTGCGGTGGGGAAGGGTGACCATGGTCAGACCAAACCTACACAGATTGATCGGCCTTCAGCTGGGTCTTAAGTAGGCTGGGCCTGGTGAGGCACCCAATTCTCTCTCAATTGTTCATGAATTTCTTGCTGTACTGGGAATTAAATTTCTTCAGCGCTTAAGAACTAGACTTTCCACAAAAATTTTAGAGCCAAAAAAAAAAAAAAAAAAAAAAAATCACCATGTATACCAACAAAAGATCCATCACATTACTTTCAAGTAAGAAAACATCAGTGAGGCACAGGTAAGGCTAAGATTTATGGTATCTCTACCCTTGGTCTCAAAAGCCAGATCTCGGCCTGTCACTTCCTTGCTCTAAAACTTCTAATGGGTGTCCACTGCCCCTGGAGTAACCAAGCTTCTGTGCTGTCACTCAGGGCCTCCATCATCTTGTCCCAGACCAACCCTCTATGGGAGTCTTAACCTGCAGTCTAGTCAAAAGGGACTGAATTTCCACCTGATTGCTCTAACCAATTTCTAGCTTCCCACACTTGTGCATAATTAAATCACCTGTAACATTTTATTACACATCTTCCCCTAGACTGTAAGCTAGGGACAGGGTACAGACTATGTCTCCTTCATCTCTGGGTCCCCTACACCCAGCAGAGGCTCTGACATGGGGCAACCACTTCATAATTGTTAATGAATGGATGGAAACAGCTGAAGTTACTCTTCCCTTAAGCTGTTTTAGCTGGACTTTTATTAGAAGACGGAGTACAGTCTGGGTCACTGCCACAAAGCAGAAAAACCGAAGAGAAAGAAAAGACGCATGACCAATGTGATCCAAGCAATGGAAAATAGGTTTTAAGAGTGAGGTTAAAGAGACCAAGGCTGTTTAGCCAGGAGAAGAGAAGATGAGGCCTAACTGGATTCTGACTTTAAGTATAGAAAAGGTTCTCATGAGAAAATCTTGATCTCATCCTCCCTTTATAATCAGAAGAAACTTTTCCATATTTATGGAAAATGGAACAAGAAGAAATGACTTAAGTTAAGGCCCGAAGGGTTTAAGCTGGACAGAAAGAAGAACCAAATTAGGCACCACTTTTCCAGAGACACTGTTATTGTACTTTTGACAAGTGAATTGGAGGAGTCTTGCTTGGCACTTTTGTTGAAGGCTGTGCAAAAAAGAATACATATGCTGCTCTGTTCCCGTTTACTGTGGAGAGAGGTGGGTGAAAACAAAAGTCAGGTAAGATTTTCTAAAGAGGCACTGATTTTTATTGACCCATTTCCTACAGGCACTTTCTGCCAGGTTATGGATTGCAACCATGTGCTGGAACAATCTAGTATCTCAAAGGTTCCTGATAAGGCAATGGAAAGAAAGAGAAGGTAACATGCCAGGGAAGGGAAGATGGCCCTAATAAATACACTTTCTATAAAAACAGTACCAAACTGGGCATTCATATATTTGTTAATATTATTACAATTAAAGCTCACATTCATTGAGCACCTACTATGTGCCAGGCACTGTGCTGTTTTGTCTCAATTCTCTTAACAACCCCATGAGGTAAGTAATATTTGTATTCTCATTTTACAGATGAAGAAACAGAAACTCAGAAAGATTAAATAACTTGCCCAACTCACACAGGTAGCAAGTGGCAGAGCCAGGACTCAAACCCAGGTAGTCTTGACTCTAGAGTCCATAAACCTAACTACTGTCTCCCTGTAAGGATGAGACGATAGAATATAAACTTTACTCTCTCAGTATCCTGTTCATATTCTCAGCTCTTCCTCATACAGTCCCAAGTCAGGACATTAGCAAGAGCTGAGGCCTCAGAAGTGAACTGAAATACTCCTTTGATTATCAGCATCTATAAAATGGGGGCAATAACACCCACACCACAGAGTTGTCATGGGAATGAAGTGAGCTAATGTATACGGAGCTCATGGCACCAGTGCCTGGCATACAGTAGGCACTCAATAACTAGGAACTGTTATTCCAGCTTCTGACATGGCTTCCCCAGATCAACTGTGGCTCTGGAAAGCAACCCAACCACTCTGTGAACCGCAACTGGCTGCAGGAGGGAATAATCTGACAGCAAAAACAAAGGAAAGAAACAGACTGAGGAGTCTCAGATGAAAATGAGCACATGCAGGACTTGAACGCCAGCCTCTGGACTCCAAATTAGTGCTCTTTCCTACTTACAGACTCTTGCTGAATTTGAGGGTGAGAAAATGAAGAGATAGGATGTGCCAAATGGGCTGCCTCCCGCAACAGACCCTTTTGTAATGAACTGTCAATCTCCCATCAGAACCCATGCCTGAAATACCAGGGTCCTGCAGCCTCTGTAAACTGGTTCGAAGATTCTACTAGCTAAGGATGGCAATGCACTGATTTATGGCATTGTGGGTGCTGCCAAAACGCTCACCTATTAAACCTATCAAGCAGACCTAGTCCATGCAGCTTCCAAACTAGGCCAGTGATTCACCATTTTAAGCCTCTTCACTGATGTCCCCATTCTGGGACCATCTTTGCTCCAGTCTAACCTCCGTCCGGCTGCCAGAGAAAACAGAGCGCCAGTCAGGGCATTTGGAGTCTCGCAGCATAAGGAAGATAACATGGGCCTTTGAACTCGGCACTGCTAGTTTTGAACCAAGCTCTGCCCTTACCAACTATCGAATCTTGGGGAAGTCACTTTAATCTTTCTGAGGTCTGGTTTCTTCATCTTTAGATTGGAGATAAATAGGCCTACATTACAGAATTAAATATAGTATGTAAAGCATCCAGCATACTGCAAGCCACAAAGCAAAGGAGACACTTGATAAATGCCAGTGTTCTGCTCCCTACTCCGCTCTCTACATTTTAGCCAAAACCTGCCACTTCGGCTTATTTCTTCTTCTCACTAACTCCTCTCCCTTCCCACAACACACACACACACACACACACACACACACACACACACACACCCCTACACCTGTGCATTTCTGCCTCTCAACCATTGCTCAAGCTGTTCCTTCTCCCAGGAATAAACTCCCTCCAAGGCCCAGCATAAATTCTCCACCTTCAGGAATCCTCTGACCATGCTGGGATTGATTTCTCCTTCTCCCAGACTCCCACTTTGTTTACATTCCTTACTACATTTACCATAGTCAGTCTGATTTCAGTTATTTATGTACTTATCTATCTTCCAAACTACACTGGAGGGAGAAGGTTCTGAGAAGACAATTATTTATAGGAGGGCAGGAAATGTGTTGTTTTCCTCTGTGTGTATTTCTCAATACCAGGGTCTTGTACGTAGCAAGAGCTCAATATGTGCTTATTGAATTGAATCTTTCCATCCTATACTGGGAATCTTTACAGAAAGATCCTGGACTGAGTTCATTCTAAAACTGCATTTACTGCCTGACTTGATAAATAGGGATTTTTTGAAGTACATGAATATTCCTAAACTAAGATCCACTAATACTCATGTGGGCTTGTTTCATTCCTTCATCCATTCTTCCAATACACTCTGGACTCTTCTTGGGATCTCTCTCCAACATACAAGGAGACGTTGCTGGGACAACATTTCTCACTCACGGAGATCTGGGAGCAAGCTCTTGGAGAACTGCTCCACCCCACTGCGTAGGAGGTGACTGCCATTAAAACCATACTAAAACTCAGAGTTGTGGAATTGGAAAATAGATCTGAATGATCTGCCTTAGTTTCCAAGCTATAACATAGAGTTAAAAACACTTAAAACAGTGTCTGGAACACAGCAAGTATGCAATAAATGTTAGATGTTGTTTTAACAACGAAGTAGACTGGAAAAAACAGAGTCATGACATTTCACTTCTAGAACTATCTCCACTACTGACTGATTCCTTGTGCAATCTCTTTTTTTTTTTTTTTTTTTTTTTTTTGAGACGGAGTCTTGCTGTGTCACCCAGGCTAGAGTACAATGGTACAATCTCAGCTCACTGCAACCTCTGCCTCCTGGGTTCAAGCGATTCTCCTGCCTCAGCCTCCCAAACAGTTGAGATTACAGGTGCCCACCACCATGCACAGCTAATTTTCGTATTTTTAGTAGAGATAGGGTTTCACCATGTTGGTCAGGCTGGTCTCGAACTTCTGACCTCAGGCGATCCACCTGCCCCGGCCTCCCAAAGTGCTGGGATTACAGGTGTGAGCCACACACCTGGACTCCTTGTGCAATCTCGATCAAGTCCTTTCCCCATCTATAAAATGAAAGTGGCAGAACCAGATGGTTCGTTCCCAAGCTCCTTCTACCTTCAACCATGTATATTTTTTCTGTGATCAAGAAATAACTTTCTCTTCCACATGCTGAGGCTGTTGGCAAGGGAAAATGTGCATTTATAGCTGCTGGTCCCCAGATGGGAGGAACCACTGTTTCCCAAGGCCAAGGGCAGAGTAACTGATTAGAAAACCACCTGTGAGTTTTCCCCTGTTTAAACTGTACTATTAATACACCCAGTGCAGGTCTCTGAACAGAGCATTACCTACCTTCCAACAAAACTCACAGTCAAGGCAAGACAAGAGCCTGAAAACAATGGCTGCAATGAAGAATCCTTGCTTGTGCAGAACTATTGTACTTTCCTGCTTTTGATGCCTGTAATTAGGGCATCAATCTAAACTAGGGCCCTCCTTAGGCCCAAAGAGGAGGAAAAACACAAAGTCCCATTCTGAACCTGACAGCTCATAAAACAAGGGCCAAAGCTAGTAAATAAAAAATGTCACTGACTCATTTAACCACAAACACTGCAGAGGCCTACTATGTGCTGGCCCTATTCTGGGCAGAGGAGGAAGGAAAGAGACATGGTGCCTTGCCACCTACCTACTCAGAGTACATATGGAGTGTACATACCCCTAGGCAGACTATGATGAGAGTTACATTAGAGGGTCAGCCTCTGCTACAGAAGACAGAAAGGGGAACAAGTAATCCAGAAGGCTCAGAAAAGCTTCACCATGGAGGCCACATGAGATGTAAACCTTGAAAGATGAGGAGGAGGAAGGAAATCCAGGAAGAGGGAATATAAGCAAAAGCTCCAGCAGGAACATGCAGGGAGTGTTTGAGAAGCAGAGACTTGGCCGGGCACGGTGGCTCACACCTGTAATCCCAGCACTTTGGGAGGCACAGGCAGGCAGATCACCTGAGGTCAGAAGTTTGAAACCAGCCTGGCCAACATGGCGAAACCCCATCTCTACTAAAAATACAAAAATTAGCCAGGTGTGGTGGTTCATGCCTGTAATCCCAGCTACTCAGGAGGCTGAGGCAGGAGAATCGCTTGAACCTGGGAAGCAGAGGTTGCAGTGAGCCGAGATCACACCGCTGCACTCCAGCCTGGGTAACAAAGTGAGACTCCATCTCAAAAAAAGGAGAAATGGAGACAACTAGTTTATTTTGACTGGACCACAGGTTGCAGGTTTGGGAAAACCAAGGGAAACAGGGAGGGGAGAAGTTTGGGAACAAATGGTGGAGGAACTTGTCTGAGGCTGGAGTCCAAACTCTACATCAAGCTTGTCCAACCCACGGGCCTGGATGGCTTTGAATGTGGTCCAACACAAATTCGTAAACGTTCTTAAAACACTGAGATTTTTTTTTGCAATTTTTAAAAAAGCTCATCAGCTATTGTTAGTGTTAGCGTATTTTATGGGTGGCCCAAGACAATTCTTCTTCTTCCAATGTGGCCCAGGGAAGCCAAAAGATTGGACACCACTGCTCTATACAGTAAGCAATGACGCCCACCAAGGTTTCCAAGCAGTGTCTCAGGAAGAGCGCAGGGGCACCCATGAAGATGATGCAAAAGGAACCAAGTAATTAAATTACTCTGGGACCACATTACAGGAGACCACATGCACTTCCTAAACACATGCTGGGGTCTGACAGCTCCTGCTCACAGAGCTTCCCTCTCCTATGGCTTGGCTTCATGCAATCTGAGCTGCCATCCCCCACAACTGTCAATATCTGCAAAATACCAGAGTAACAGAACTCCTGACCAACTCTCTGGATTACAGACAGAGAAGCGTTGAGGTGGGAGCAGAGGGGGCACCAAAGCCTCTAGCTGGCTCAGTTCCATATAAAACCCAACCCTAGATTTCCTCTTCACATCACTTCCAGCAGCCCTCTAATGAAGGGCTGAAGCTAAGGAGAGTGAGCTGAAATCACCCGGCTGATGGGTGGTGATCCAGTGAGACACTACACCTACTGTCCAGCATGTGCCTGGCATATGGACAGTGGTGCCCTTTCCATTCTGCAGGGTCAGTTCCATCTGTAAATCCCACTGAGGCTTCAAGGCCCAGGTCACATCAACTCTTCTCTCAGAGCCTTTCTAAAGTACCCCAATCCAAAATGACTGAGCTCCTAGAAATCACAGCTACCATGTATTCAGCACCCATTACATAACAGGTGCCATACTAGGTGACTTCCATATAATCCTATTCAACTTTCACAATGGACCCTATTATGGCCATTTCCTAGGGAAGAACGTGAAGCTCTGTGAGGGGAAGCGGACTTGCCCCAGGACACACAGCTAAGAGGTGGAAGAGATGAGATCTGAACCCAGGACTCCCTGACCCTGAAGTTGAGCACTTCTAACAACACTTCATTCCTGTGAGCCTGCCTGCCTCTGATCTGCCACTGACAGGGAGCTTGGAGCTCTCTAGGAAGACAGGGTGCACACCTGACACTCTTATTACCTTTCCCTGTGGACAGCCACCCACACAGGCAGGAGCCTTCACATACTGAAAATAAACGAAAACAATTAATTTAAAAATAACGCAGTACACAGATTTCTCAAATTCCTCACGTGAAAAACTATTCATGACACTGGACTGCCTGAGCCCTGTGCCCAGCCATAGCCTCGGTCCTGATCCCAGAGAGAGACTGAGTCTCAAACGGGCCACAGAGTAAGCGCCATCTCGGACACCGGCCGCGCCCCTACCCCAGGCACAGACGGAGCCCCGGCAGGTCGTAGACAGCTCGAGACAGTCCTGAAAAGCGTCCCCTTAGGCTGTCCCTCCGCAGCTGAATCGGGTCGTGACCTCGGGCCGCCGTGAAGGCCCTGACTGCCCCCTTCCGGGCACACGAACTCACAGACCCCGGCCCCGCTTAGCTCGGAGGAATACCTCGCAGGTCTCGCTTTTACCTTCGCTGGCTCCCGCCGGGGAGCGGTCGCGCGCACCCCTACCTGCTGATCGCTCCTCCGAGAACGCGGAAGAGGCGGTGCTAGATCCAGGAGGTGGGCCCGACCAGAGAGGGGCGTGAGGGGGCGGAGCTGCGCCTGTGCCCTGATGGCTACGCGGGGCCCCCTGGGGGAAGGGCACTCGAGCTGAGCGAACTGCGCAGGCGTGACAGAGAAGAGGCGGGGAGAGGGGAGATTACTCGCAAGTGGGTGGGGCTTAGCTCCTCTGGCGCTTTCTTTTCCGAACGGAGGTTGGAGAAGCCCGGGAACGAAGGAGGCTGCGTGCGGCAGGTGTAATTAACATGCACTGAGCGCTTCTGCAGGCCAGGAAGGAATTTTAAAATGCCTTTTATATGTGGGGAAACGCTGCTAGTCTTTTCTAAAACGGGGGCCAATTCTGCACAATTTATTTAAAGGTCTGAGTGCCTAGAATTTCACCATAAGAGTTTCTCCTTGAGTACATTATCCCCAGTAGCTCAAAATTTTTAAAACTTTTAAAAGTTCATTTATTGGGGAAAAACAATTGTAAATGGGTTAATGCCTCAACCAGCCTCCCCACATCCCCTTCCCAAGTCTGCAGCTGCGATGAGAAAGGATGAGAGTGTGGACTGGGATTTAATTCAGGTGCTGACTCTGAGTGATGGAGGTAAACATGCCTTCTCCGCCTGTCTCAGGATTATTGTGAGGATTTGGTAAGCGAGGCTAGTTAAAGAGCTCCAGGGTTTGCTTTCCATCATCCACCTGACAAACATTTTGTTCCCTGTCTTGTCAGGGCTGTCCCGATTGGGAATATTAGCGAACATTCAGAACTTTGCTAGATTTCCCAATCTGGGTGAAGGCTGGAGAGGAGGAAGATCAAGCTTCTGTGTTCACTCCCTTCTGGAATCCTGCGGCCCAACCTGAGGGCCCCTATGTATCCTGACTTCTCCCACTCATCACCTTCCATGGAGGCCCACCCAAGTTTCAAGTCTTCAGAGGCCCTGCTTGCCTGTTCCCTTCCCTGTTCCCTGTCTCAACAGCTTAAGAGACTCAGAACCTACGTTCCAGGTTCTCAAAGTTGCTATGCCCCTCACATGGCAACCAAGTTCAGTTAAGATCTTTGAGGACTCTGGAGGTGCTCAGATAAAGGAGGGCTCTCCCAAAGCAGGTGGAGCTCTAGTCATGCCTGTGGCTCATTTCACCACATATTCCACAGCTTGCTGTGGGGTGGGGAGGAGAGTGGCAACAGGAAACCTCAGAGGCTACAGTGTTTATGGGAGCCGGGGGTGATGCAGCATCCTTTACTCAATAGGTGGATGCTCTGCCCTAGGCTGGAGAGGATGGCTTACTATCTAGGTCCCTGCTCCAAATATTGTTATGGAATTTTTTTTTTTTTTTTTTTTTTTGAGACAGGGTCTCGCTGTGTTCCCCAGGCTGGAGTGCAGTGGCACCATCTTTGCTCACTGCAACCTCTGCTTCTTGAGCTCAAGTGATCCTCCTGCTTCAGCCTCCCGAGTAGCTGGGACTACGGGCATGCACTACCATGGCTGGCTAATTTTTGCAGTGTTTTTTTTTAGAGGCAGGGTTTTGCCATGTTGCCCAGGCTGGTCTCGCACTCCTGAGCTCAATGATCCTCCCACCTTGGCATCCCAAAGTGCTGGGATTACAGGCAAGAGCCACTATGCCCAGCTTTGTTATGGATCTTGAGCCAACAGGAAAACAAAGCCCAGCCTGACTTCTCAACCAAGCTGCCACTCCCAATATGTTACCTCTCCCAGGACCCTTTGTTACCAGGTTTTGCCCCATGGGAGTGTGTTCTTTTCTCTGCAACGTTGAGGCCCCATCTCTTTCTTTTCCCCTCTCTTCCTTTCTGTCTATTCTTCTTTAAGCATCCCTCTGTGAATCTCTCAAAGAAATTTTGTGTCAGCTTCCTGATGTATTTACAGATATTCCCATGTAAGGGGCAGGTCTTGGGTCACAGAGTTCTAAGATAAATCTACTCTCACTGCCATGGTCATATTTCAAAATGACTGTGAACCCAAAGCATGGGCCTTGTAACAGTCTGAGCTGTCCAGTGACTGAGGAGGTAGTGGGCGATCTGTCATAGGAGGTGTGCAAACAGCACCCTTTTAGAATGCTGGGATTGGGCTCCTGTGGTGAGCCAGAGGAAGAGGCAGCAGAATGGAGGGCCTTCCAGATTCTAGAGTGAATAAAGGGGGGGATATTGGGGGCTGGAAGGGAAGCAAGACAGCTGGCCAAAGACACACTTGATTCAACAAGCTATTATATATCAAGCACTTAGAAATGTACCTGATACATAATGAACGTTAGCTATTATGATGACTGTGAATGATTCATAGACTATGTAATGAAGGAGCTGAGATCAATCAGTCCTTCACTCCCATCACTGATAACAAAATAGATGGGGAATTGGGGTCTAGAGGGGGAATGGGCTTGCAATGGAACTTCAGGAGCTGGGCTGGGACTACAACCTACGCCTCTGCCGCCCAGGAGAGCCTCTGCACAAAGCCAGGCTGGCTCCTTTGCAGGAAGAGGCAAGAGCTCTAGGTGGGCCTTTCGTGATACTTAAGAACCAAGATGCTTTTTAATTCCTGTCCAGGCAGCTTGTGGGTTAGAGGCAGTGGAATGACAGCAAGACCTGAGAAAACAGATGCAAGTGTCTTCTGGGGAGTAAGCTCAGGAGTCAGGCCCGTGTCCTGCCACCCCCACTGTAGCTCCAGCCAGCAACAAGTATCTTCCTCTTCAGGATGGCCCCCTGTCCTGTAATTAGTGTTGGGATTGTATTTCCACTCTGTCCTTTTATCCATTACCTCAAAAAAACCACCTAGATTAAGGGAGTGGAGTGAGAAGAGCCAATGCCAGGCAACCTGAGATGAAACAAGGAACGATTCCTATCAGACTGAGTTCCTGGAAGGCAAGGGCCAGCCTTCTCCACCCCAAGTGTCCCAGTCTAGCCTGGTCTAGAATTCCCAGAGCCCCAGGAGAATCTTGGTGTCCCCACCCTAGAGAGCTAGGCCAGACATGACCACACCAGCCAGCCCTCCACATGGTCCAGTATCTCAGGACAAAAAGCCTTCCCAGCCCCATTCTGGCTCAGTTCCTTCCATGGTCTGCCAAGAGCCATGTGGCACCCAGATCACCGCTTCCCACCAGTGGCTGCTTTAGTTTGCCTTTTATTTTACCAAAAATAACAACAATAAAGTCTTCCCTCTGTTTCATAAAAATACATTTTCCCACCCTCCCCTCATCCCAGAAATCAGCCCTCGCCACAGCCTAGAATCCATCATGCAAGTCACAGCACTCTGGGGAAAGCTCCTACTACCCTCGCTCCACAGCCTCCGGCAAAGCTGCCAGGCCACTCTGGAGGCGGTAGAGGCAGAAGTCCCAGGCCCAGCTGGCTGGCCCCAAGAGCTCCATCTGTTTCCCCAAAGTGCAGGCAGCTTCTAGGCCATTTAGTGGGGCATGATATTGGATGCTTGGCTCAGGAAACAACCCCAGCCAACCCATGGGCAGTGGGGCATGTTGGCATCAGGTTAGAAATTATTGCTCAAAGCAGAAACAGTTATGTCCTAGAGAAGGTCTGTTAAACTCTCTTTCCATGTGCATCTCTGTGTAGCAATAGATGGGTCAGGATCCCTGGTTTCTCCAGCTCTGTGAACGCCTCCCTGTGAGGTCTTGGACAGTTTCTCCCTCTTCTTCTCCTGGCTTCAGTTTCCTTGTATGTACATTGAGACAGACTGGACGATTCTCAGGTCCCTTCTGGCTTTCCATTCTGGCCTCCCAGAGTGGAGGCTCTGAGAGGGCAGAACCCTGTTCCTGCCTCTGTTTCCCCACCTGTGGGGCTGAGCATAGGCTGGATATGGAGGTACTGAGTAATGGAGTGCTGAATGAACATCCCGGTCTCCCTGTGGATAGCTGTGCTCTGAGATCCAACTGTCTGGAGTGCCTGCGGGATGGCTGGGAAGGAGACAGGTAGTTTTAGGATGGAGGATCTCCATACCTGGAAGAGTCCATTCACCAACTATATCCTCAATGTCCTGGGATGGGAGAGAAGACTCCAAAGTTCCCAGTTGAAGTTCCACAAGCTCCTTGGACTGGGGGATTATTTTGTGCTGGGCTTCAGATCCGAGGAGCCAGATCTGTAGATTCTGGGAGCTAGACTGGAGTATATGATTCCCAGATGAAGGGCCAGGGGACCTTTGTGTACTTGAGGGATCATCTCCAACCCCCAGGCTACCTATAATACAGGCCTTCTTGGAGGCAGAGGGATGAGTATAATGTCAGCTCATAGGCATCTCTGGGTAAGAGAATCGGAGCCTGTGTCTGCGGTGGGTCAGGGTTTAGGAACTCAAGGCAAGGCTCCTCTTCCTGCCTTCCCCCAGCTCTCCAGGACTCATGCTGATGGAAGAATGTAGCCTGGAAGGTTTGAATGTAGAGCAACATCTACAACCACATGTTGGGCACTTAGTCACATGGTCAGATATACTGAGTGGGGACGCTGAGCTGTCATCACTCCTACAGTGGCCGTGGTCTGATGGTCCCATGGTCTGATGGTCCCAATCTATTTATCCATCCATCCAACGTTTATGGAAGGCCTACTATGTGCCAAGGAGGGGTAAGGCAGCTAGCTCTCACAGACACACCCCACAGTGAAAATCACACACGCACACACCCCGGCATCTGTGCTCACTCACAGGCAGACTGCTCACCCTCTTGCACCTTTCTTGCCATCACCTTGGCCACACCCACATTCCTCCAATAGGCTTGGGAACCAGCATGGAAGGGTCAAGTGTCAAGAAGAAACCCCCTAGCCTACCCTACTCCCACACTTCATGCCAGAGGTTTAACTCTACTTCCCTTCTGTTTGCCCGCCTAGATGCTCTCCCCTTCTCCATCCACAAGCGGTCAGGGCGACAGGTAGGCAGACTCCTGAGAACCAGAAGTCCAGAGGC